TTATTTAAGACACATTATATTTGTCAATACCCTTGACTTAGATGAATATCAGATCACATTTTATGACAAATTTACTCAGAAAATCATGAAATTCCAAAAGGTTCACATACTTTTTCTTGCCACTGTATCATCTTTTCTGCCCAGCAGATGTTCCAAAGCTGGACAAAGTCCAACTGTATTCTTTCGCCCCGTGGAAGCTGACGCCTCAACTCGCCACCTGCACATAAACACCCGAGCCAAGCCTCAGGTTCATTTTGGTTTTGGATGAATGAAAAATTTTTGAAAAGGCTTTAGCACAAATCAATGCCGCTTCCTGTGTTATGCCGACTTAATATAATTTCACAGGTATGCTTATCGCCAGAAAGAAGAAGACACATGAATAAACACTTGCTTACGCAGATTTGCTCCAGCAGGAGATGTGCTGCAGCTTGCTGTGGCTCATTTACAGTTGTTTTTATACTTACTGGGTTTTCATTCATGTTCTGTTTGCACATCGTGATTGAATGCATGCAAAGTATATATTGAAATTCTTAACACTGATGTAAGATTTAGTAACTTAAAGCTGCATGTTGGTTGTTTTAGCAGCAACACACATTAACTGTAATTGTTTGGACATTTGAACTTGGACTCTCTAAAACCCTGAAAAATCATGCTTTTAGTCCCATGACATCATTTATCCACCTGGTTATGAGAAGCTGAGACCGCCAGGCTTTGTCTGGACTACAAACTTGTTCCTGTTTTTGTGGCAGTTTTGAAATTGTTTTTATTCAGGACTTCCCTCGGATAGAAAAGTCACCAGATGCAACGTGAGAATTTTCTTCATTTGCATTGATATAGTGAATTTGCTCTGGCTATTTTTAGCTATGGCTCTGGATGGCAGCGTTTGTTCTTTGGTCCAGACTAAAATATTTCAATGTCAATTGAATGAATTTCATTGGAACTTGTACAGACACTCCTGGTCCTCAGAAGATAGATAGAAAGATAGATAATAGATAGATAGATAGATAGATTAGATAGATAATCCACTGGACTTAGCATGTACTTTCTTTTTAGTGTTAATAAGCAAATGTTAGCATGCTAACAAGCTAAACTAAGATGGCGATCATGGTAAACATTACCTGCTAAGCATTTGCATGTTAACATTGCCTATGTGAGTATGTTAGCATGCTGAAGTTAGCATCTAACTCAAAGCACCAAAGTGCAGGTTAAACAGAGATGCTAGCGTTGTCGTCTCAGTCCTGTTTTATTATGGCTAGTAAGCTACATATATTCTACATTACAAATTTCAGAAAGTCACTGGGAAATAAAATATAAATATTTAAAATATAAACTACTGAAATGCTGAATTACAGTAAATAGTGATGAGGAGATTGGTTTGTATTGGGCACGTTACAGTTATGGAAATGCACCAAATGCAAATGCATGAAGTTGTCTTCACATATCTAATCTTCCTTTATTGCCCTGCAGTAAATGATTTCTTTAAATGGACATATTTTACAGCTCTTCACAATTGCTGTGTGTGAACGCACAACATTATCAGGGACATTGAATCACTCTAATGAAGGTCGCTGAAGACAGTTATTCATGTAAAGGCCACTATCCTTGGATTTCCCTCATTATATATAGGAGATGAAAAAAAAAGGCTAAAACATACAAAAATGTTAGATATCTCGCACATTCAGTTTATGCTTGTATTTTCTCTCCTGGCTTGTTGCTGTTAAATTTTTTATAGGTAAACCCAACATAGCTTTGAGGATGCTGTCGGACACAGTTCACATTTCAGAGCAGCCAATACTTCATAAGAAAAATGTGAAAAAAAATCCATCAACAAGAGGTGAAGTCTCTAAGGTGTAAAACTCACATTCTTTCTTCCAAGAAGCGGAAACGTGTTTCATAACTCCCAGACCTGCTTGTCTTCAGTGGTGCAACACTGAAGCAGTTATTTACTGTATCTGTTTATTCTGTCAGCCATTTGCACTTCAGTTCAGACATTTGTACCCTCTGCAGCCCCATCCTTCCTGCCGCAGCTTCCCAGTTTAGAGATTTGGGGCTGTTTGTCAGCTTTGAAAATCAACTATCTCTGCAGAAGTTCAGCTGGCAGCTTTGGCAAGCTGTGCTCTTTCACTCAAAAAAAGATGAAGACAAAAATAGATATCATCCAAAATGACATGTTGTTGAATGAGACTACCAGTGAAATACCAAAATGTGAATGTCAATAAACTGAAATAAACTTTACACCAAAACCTGGCTCAGCAGAAAATTCAATAGCAAAATATCATTTTTATACGGCAGAAGTGAAGATTTGACAGATCTGAAGAGCTGGGAGCAGAAGAAATAAATGTCTTTTCACGAAATTATTATTTATTATTATTATTATTACCTCATTCTACTTTGAAAGGAATATTTTCGGAAATGCACTCATTCGCTCTCAGCTAATGCACTCAGAGTTAGATGAGAATCTCAATACCATCTTATCTTAGCATGAAGAGTTAGGGTTAGCACCTCTAAAGCTCAGCCATTAACTTGTTGTATCTCATTTGGTTTCCACAACTTTTGTTGTTTTTACACTTTAGTTAGTGGGCGGATTAAATAAACAAAATATGACACGTTAATTATGTCGCTTTAGAGGTGCCAGGCTGTTTCCCCGTGCTTCCAGCTGTTAAGATGCCAGCATGCTTCTTCACACACACACACACACACACACACACACACACACCTTTTCCGATGTGGGATTATGGGGGACTTTACAAAACCAACAATTCATCATTCACACCCACTTCATGCTGTGATTGCTCAGCTCTGCAGAGGTGTGGCCTATATTTCCGATGTCCGACGAAAACATGCTCCGTATCATTTCTAGCATATTTTGGGGCTATTATGCTACCTTGCACGTGAACATATGAGTGGTATCTTAATAATCAAAACATTGTATCACACTTACATCATCCCTATACACAAACAGATGAGAAAATGTGGCAATCAACTGAGATTCATTACTGAGCTTCAGAGGTGTAGATAGTTGTAGTTTGAACTCTTTAAGAGAGCGTGGCTAGCTTTTTCCCCCTGATTCCACTTTATATGCTAAGCTAAGCTAATTGCCTCCTGGGTGTAGCTCTGTACATAGACACAAGAGTTTTTTTAATCTAACTCTCAGCAGGAAGGCAAATAATAATTTTCTACAATGTAGAATTATTCCCTAAACATTGGTTGTATTTGTAATAATAGAAAAATAAAAAGACTTTATCAGTGACTGTCACTGATTCATGAAGCATAAATATAGCCCCGCTGTTCTCCGCAGCAGCTGTCCCATAGGATATATACTGTTTTTACAGTAAGCATGCAATGTAATGCACTATTTATGAACGTTCATGTCAAATGTATTGCAGCTGTATTTTAGTAAAAGGATATGTGCATTCACATGAGTGTGTCCATACCGGTGCCTGGATGTCGTTGAGTGTGTTTTTGCCCCAGATGGTCTGTAAGCCCATGTAGCTCCCACAGTTATCAATGCAAGATGGAATTATGCAGGCACTCTTAAATTCTGCAAACAACCCTTAATTCTTAATTTAGATATTAATTAGTTTCCCTGTTACTTGGCAAAGCCCTGTGATTTCCCCTGACAGCAGGCATGTTCATAACTGGGGCGTCTGCTGCCTCACGCTGCAGAGGAGTATGTCGACGATGTAGGAGACTCAATAACATGATTGAAACAAGTTCATTAACTGAGACCAAACACTGCAGTGGGCCTGAGAAGGAGCGTAATCATCAGCCGGCAGTGAAAACACATAGGAACTGTATTTCATTCAGTTTGTGATGTCTGTCTAATAACTGCTGGGACCCTGGATAATACTCAACTTCTTTGATTTCAGTAATATCTGTAAAACACTGCAGCCTATGTGCAGTATCTTGTATTATAAATGTTATAGCATTCTCTGTTGGTTAGCCGCATTAATCCCACTGTTAACTGCTATGAATCATCCAGATCTCGACAATAGTTTCCTACAAGATGCAAATATTTGGAAGTTCCAACACTTTAAAGCTCACATTTACTCAACATGCAGAGAAGTGTTTAACTGACCGATGCTTTACTCGATCTTTACTAGATCTATTCTGGCTGATTTTCGTTTGTGAATGATATAGTTGGTTTCTTTATTACTGTACCTAACGAATGTTTTCTTTATCGATTAATTTGTGCATTATTTTCTTGAAGGTGACATCTTCAGATGTTTGATTTACTGTAATAAACAACCAAATCTTAAATCTTTAAAACGGCCCCTTCCAGTTCTAGCTAATGCTAGCTTGAGCCCTTGATGCGATAAGAGTCGTACACTAGAAAATATTGATTGACAGCGCTGAGCTCCCACCCGTGACCTTGGCCTTCTCTGATTGGTCAGAAGGGTGAGACTTGCTCAGAAACTTTACAAGGAAATATCTCAGCATTGCTTCCAGGCTGTTGAATGAATCTGGGTCACAGAAGACAGCACCTCTCTATTTCAACTAAAAAGTATTTTTAAAATGTACATACTGTAGCTTTAAATTAATGGACAGTAATCAAAATTGTTGCTGATTAATTTCTCCCAATCAACTAATCCATTAATTGATCATGTCTGTACCGACTATAATATCACTTGGTATTATTATGGTGAATGCCCGAATGTGTAAGAGTGTGCGAGAAAAGCTAATTATCTGATTATATTTCTGTCAGATTTTGTTGTTGCTGTGTCTTGTGATATGTCATCCTGATATGTTATCATTTTACTCCCACTCGCTTTTGGATTCAAGAAGCACAGAAGAGCTGCGTTGGCTGAGTCACCGTGTTGGCCGATCATCCGCCTCCATCCTGTTGTCGTCATTTCCTTCACAGCTTCTCACTTTTGCCTCCACGCAACTACTTCCTGTGCTACTCCTGTTGATTACAGCCAAAATAGTTTTTTTTATTATTATTATTTTCTTATTATTATTAAATCTCCACACGTCTGTCTCTGCCCTTTTTCTTACAGTGCACTCCCATCGTTGGCCATGGATTTGTGTTGGACAAATACAAGTGCCAGTGCAGGAGAGGATTCTACCATCCGCGCAGAGTGGCACTCAATGGCTTTAAAAGTAGGTTACAAATCCCTCTGTGATATAAAAATACATATTGCAGCGAGCTGTCAGATCAAAACTTTGAATCTTTCAAAAGCAAGCTTTGAGGTTCTTTAAAAAAAAAAAAAAAAGATAAATAAATAACAACCTCTTTCTTGAGTTGACAGCCACACATTTTGTTTGAAATTGTTGTAATGTCTTTGAGCGTGTGTCCTGGGGCTTGTGAGGTTATGAAACGTACAGCATCAGTCAAAGGATTTTCACTGTTCTTAGTTTGGAAATGTTTCTATTCTGAGGAGCCACAGGTGGCGTCTGAATCACAGACCTGTTGGATCATGAGTTGCATGGGGAGAGGGAGAATACATCTTGTTGGAATAAATTTGAATAAAGGTTTAGTGACACATTAATTGACCGTTTGATAAGCCTCTCGTCCCCACAGTTATTATAGCTGCTCTCCCTACACACGTCATTGTCATTTTTAGAACAGTGGGTCTTTGATTTGAAACGGTCCCGTACAAAAGCAGGTTTCTCATTTCTAAATGACATTCCTAGGTTTTGTCAGCTGAAATGACGACTGTCGCTAGAAGATTTTGTTTTTGTTGCTAGTGTTAGCCAATGCTAACGCTCGAAATCAGTGTTGCTTGAAACTGCAGCTCTTCGGTTGATAAGTTCATGTTTCCAGTTTAACACTTTATCACACATTAATGTGCATTATTATTAAAAAAAAAAAGTAATTAAAATGTTACTTGTTTTAACATGTCTCTTAAGGTCTGGATTCTTACAACTGAAAAACATGGGTTATGTTTTATTTCTACACAGTTTTTCCTGGAGTGGAGAAATCCAAAGCTTTATACACCTGTCATCCCCTAACCCGTTTCAATGAATAATAATAACTTGAACTAAAATCTAAACATGTGCACAAAACTTCAAACTGTCTCTGCTGATTTTCCTTCCTCTCATCCTTGTGAATTTCAAGTACACCCATAGCTTTACCTCCCTGCTCGTGCTTTGGGTCTGAATGCCTGTATTCTGACACCTTGGCTGAAAGCGCTGCAGTGTCCTCGGGCTGAAAGCTTGGCCCTGATGAGTGAGATAATCAGGCAACTGCGGTGGTTTTCATCGCTGACTCCAACAATACAGCACCCCAAGGGGGTTGATATGCTAAGCTGGAGCTTTATTGTAATGCGGCGTGATGAGGCCTGTAGTCAAATGGCGCAGTCTGTGAAGAGACTCATTTTCCTAACCCCGCGCAGACCCTGTCATTAAAAATCTCTGGCGCTCAGGTTGGGTCGCAGTAGATGGCGACCCCGATCCCACCCACCCACCCCGTAACCTGTCTGTTATTCCTTATGCATCCCCTGAAAACAGACCAGGCTGCAAACAGATTTTCTATTGTTCCCTAGCAACAGGCCAAAAGGACAGATATCAAAGGGGAGAAAAGACGGAGAGAGGAAAACACAGCCTGCAATAACAAATGAATTATTTGGAAATGTGCAGTCAAACCTCATGAAAAGTGACATTTGATTTGAATGTTACAATGTATGTTTGGCTGGTGATCTTTGCCTTGATATCTGTGATTACCCATTAACAAAGATAGATAGATAGATAGATAGATAGATAGATAGATAGATAGATAGATAGATAGATAGATAGATAGCAACAAACCAATTTAACTCTCATTGTGTGTGGTAACTTTAACAGTGTTTGCATATTATATGAGGGCTGGGACTTACAGAAGAATTACATGCTCATCAAGCATCATTTTGTAGAAGAGCTGCATAGTGAAAATGGAGGATTTATATTACAGATTGATTCCAAATCCCTTATATTTCCGGCATGTCTGTTTCTTTACGTGTAACTGATTAAATTCAGATTTCACAGGTGCCTCCGTAAGAAAAAACACATCCATTCGTGCTAAACGCAAAACTCTCAAAAGTAATCCAGGGTAAACCACAACCTAGTGTGCCACATGCTGATGTATCAACAATTACGCCGACTGGAATGATGAAGGGAGAAGTGTCACAATATTTTATCCCCCACTCCTTCATTATTCCCTCCTCTGCTTAATTAAAGGCTGTATTCTTGTAATTATGGCCCCCAAGGCTTTGTGATTTATTGGATTGATGATTGCTACTCCTTCAAGTTGATTAACTGAGCATTTAATGAGAAGTCAGTATGTGACAGCCAAATGCAAATTAATTACAGTGATAATCCTTGAAAACACGACAGTAAATAAGATCTGTGTCCTGACTGGTGATTAGATCCAAAGTTTTCAAACGGCTGTCTTTCAACGCAACTTAAGTCTTGAATATATCCACAGATACATGTCTGGTTGTCATCTAAAGTGCTCTCACGTCCTCAGGTAAGGAGCAGGGCTCTCACAGAGACGACACCTCTGACGTGTCGAGCAAGTGCCTGCCGTGCCGCGAGGGCTGCCCCTACTGCCGGGACGACACACCCTGTCTGGTGCAGGAGGACGGCGTGCTGCGGCTCGCTGTGGCGTCCTTCCAGGGTCTGTGTATGGTGCTGGACCTGGCCAGCATGCTGGTGGTCTACCACTTCAGGAGGAACAAGGTGAGGAGGAGATCAGGGGTCAATGCGGAGGAGTTTTCGATGCAGAATGCACAAATTTCACATATCAAGATGACTTTAATAATCATGAGGAGTGCAACTGAGCTTGTGAGAACAGTTACATAATGTCTTCTGTGGCTCTGGAGTGAAGTGTATCAGGGCAATCTTTAAAGAGAAAATCTGCGTTTGAAATTGAGGGCATGGAGTTTGAAAGACTGGGCATCTTCCGGGTAAAGATGGACTAAAAGTACAATCACAAAAGATTTAATCATGCATTCGTGTTTTGATGCAATCTTATTAATTATTATTTATGCAATCTTTATTTCCCCTGTTATAAAGAGCCAATATTGAGTTGCATTATGGGAACTGTAGGAGTCAACATTTTTGGAGCTTGACCCAAATACCATAACCAAACGACATATCCAACCAAACATTATTATAGATGGAGGTAAATGATGCTTTTAAACACTGGCTCACACAGTAAATGAAGAACTCTTAGATAACTGCCCCAGATTAAACGGGTCTGTGACACACAGGTTTTGTCATTTTAAGGCCTCTGTGAGTTTTACACTGCCCTTCATTTCAGTCTGTAACTGACAGGAGTAGCAAGTCTGTCGTTAAAACTAAATTAATATTTATTTGCTCCATATCCTTTTATGATAATTCAACCGGTTTCATACTACATGCATTTCACAGACGACGCCTTCGCTGATTTGAGCGAAGTTTGTTTGATTTCTTTAATGTATATTAGACTCAACTAACATCTACCCCTCATTGAATCCTCACAGACTTACAGCAAAGTTGTTGCATAATACACACTCTGCTAATAGAATAAAGTGAAATAAATATGAGCTCCTCGCGGCACAGGATAATTACAACCAGTCCTCGGGCAAAGTTGAGTTGAATCTTTCCCTGTGTGCTATTTATAGACATTTGTGTTGTTGCCTCAGAATCTCTCACATTTTCTCAGTTCACAAGAAATGTCCCTGGAACCCTTTGAATTAACATAAAAGACATAAAAAAAAAACTTCTACAAGGTAATGTGGGTAATTAAATCCAACTCAGAAAAATGCTGCAATAAAAAATATATATATTCAACTCTTCCCTGTTTGTTTGGCTTTGAAAGACACACAAATTTATTATTTGCATTTGCTGTCACCCTCCTTTCTGCACATGAGTGTAAATAAATCACCTGCTCCTTGTCACTGACTGACTGATTGATTGATTGATTGATGGTTTGTTTGTTGTTTCTCTTTCAGAGCATCCGCACATCTGGTCTCATCCTGCTGGAAGCCATCTTGTTTGGGGCTTTACTGCTCTACTTCCCAGTAAGTCTCCCTTCAGATTTACACCCACAGTTCACTCAGTCAGTCCGTTGCTCCGTCAGCTTTTGCTTCTTCACTCTAAAGTTTTAAATCCTACACTTTACGAATACAACATAAGACCAGAAACAGACACCAACAAACACGTACGAATACATAAACGACACATGAAGAGTAAACCAGAGGTTACGGACATAAAGAAACAGATAAATCCGATCATTGCATCACAAGCTTTCCTTCTGGACAGGATGTGCTCTACATACAAGATTTGTGTTTCTGGCTTTGGATCTTGGTCAGTGCAAATCAGCTCTCTACTAAGTGTCTCTTGCTTTAGTCCGTGATGAGTGTCCATGGCCCATCCAAGCCATTATCTCTGTAAACTCCCGGAAGGGCTGAGGCTGCACGGCCCGTCATTATCATTATCTATCAAGTTGTTGTGTTACTGCAATTTTCAATCCATGCACTTTAGCTCCCAACAAACAAACAGAGCCTCATATTCACATTCACGTTGAATACTGAGAACATGACGTATCTTGGACTCCAACCCAAAATGTTCTTGTTTCTGGGTAATGTTATAACAGACGTGTTAATGATCCTCTCTGTTCACAGCCGTTCCAACAGAGGTCTGACACACAAGGATTCACTCTATTCAATTTGAAAATGATCTTTCCCAGACTGTGGTGTAGTTGAAGTGACAGCTGTTCACATGGTGATTGAGACATTATAACATCATTACATAACATTGTAAGAAAAGGAGTCAATATATCCTGAAAACATTTATATACTATATATACTAATTCTTATACTAAGCAATACTAAGTCTTCTTTTGCTGTCTGTTTGCATAAACTGCATCGTTCACCAAAGGTAAACACATACTACTAAAACAAGTTCTGAACTTCCTTTAAGTTAGAAATTACTTTCTCATTCATATAATGTTCTGTTTTTGATCGTAAGTAACTTCTCCATTAGAATCATATATAGTTTGGATTTGTGTTAGTTTCGTTGTCAGTGTTTCACCTGCTGAATCACCTGACTCAAATTCCTTTTAAGTCTAACCAGTACAAATATGGCCAAGTAACATAGTCCCTTAGTATGTGATTATTTGGTTCCCTCATGTTTTTCAAGGGTACTAAGTTTTACTATTAGAGTTTTTCCTGTCACTCTGTCCTCTCTTTCTAACATTCAAACTACTTAATTATCCATCCCCAACATGTGACTGTATGTATGTCTGTATGGATGAGACTGAATCCATATCTAAAGCGAAATACTCCTTTACTTTGACATGATGTAATCATAATAATGGCCAATCCCATCTTTCTCATAATTAATTTTACGAATGTCTCTCAATTTCATTTCAGTCATAGTTGTTAGCCAAAATCCTCTGGGACGTTTCATCAGGTCTTGATGTGCCTCTTCAGGAGTTTATAGATATCTTTCTTTCCCCACCCACCCTCACCAGCAGTCATGACTAACAGGGCACATAGTGCAAGTAAATTGTTTTTATTGTAATTATCTTGCAATACATAATTCATTTATAGTTAATATGTGAGTAGTTTTCTCCTCTGGATAAGTGGAAGGAGGCAGCGCCCCAGCACCACACAGTAACCGGCCACTACTGGTCTTTAATATCAGCAAACGGCTTCAAAAGTGGGTTCAGAAGAGGATTCCTCCGGCTGTGCCTCCTTCTGTCTGGTGTTGTTTACTCTCTCTCTGTTCTGCTCAGAGAAAGTGACGCCACTTATTGTCATTCGTTTATGTAATTTACAGGGGCAACTAAATAACTAACTAACTAACTAATGAATGTGAATACAATTCAATAAAAAGAATTCAATTAAACTAATCAGTAACGGTCGGTTTTACACATACCTTGTTTTGTTTTTGTCTTGTCTCTGCATCTTCTGGTGTCTGCCTTGTTTAGCACAGCTTAAAGGAGCTATTTGTAAGTTTTGCTAACGCTACATAGCCACTGTTAGCATTAACAGCTGTTTACTTAAAAGTCTAGACAAAAGTTTTTGAGTTCAGCATCAAACTTCATTCCTCTACTCAGCAAGAGCCGGCCCCAGTGGGGGAAAAGCAGTCCTCTTGTTGTGCTTCTATTTCTATCACTTCTGAAGTTAGCATACTAGCCAGCTAGCTCCGGCCCGTCTCGCCACTTTCTGATACCGAATCACTGTAGCGTCCAGTCTGCCCTGAAGAAGAAGCGCTGTTCAGAGGGCGTATTGCAACCTCTTGTAAACGCAACGATGACTGAAGCTCTCGTCAAGACTGGTAAGTAAACAGCTGTTAATGCTAACGTTGGCTATGTAGCAATAGCAAAACTTACAAATAGCTCCTTTAAATGCTGACTGCAGCTCTGTTGAACCATTAATATTTCATCCCCACTGTGCACTTGTATATGGATGCCCTCACAATAAAGTTCTCATCAATCTATAGTCTTGAATTTCCTTTTCTGCAATAACCATTCAATGAGTTCACATTCAGTAATTTCCTCTCTATACAGCAGCGTTCAAATTGCCTTCAAATACACAGGGGATTGGAAGGCAATTTGAAAGTGAACACTACTATATGGAGAGGAAATCACTGAATGTAAACTCAGTGAATAGTTGTTGCAGAAAAATGCTGATTATAGAAGGGATAAAAAATAGGGTTTGATGTCATGAAAATCTGCAGGACGATAACTTTAAATTGCTGAAGAGATCATTTCGACACGTTTTCCTGAGAAAAAAAATCTACATTTTAGCAGGAAAATGAAGCGACTATATTTAAAGTTGTTGCTGCCGCCTGTGTTCAGAATACTTTACTATATAGATAGAGGCAATAAACCCTGCCTACTACTGTTTCGGGCGCAGCTAGATGTTGTTATAGTGCTGTACCTCTGATCATTGTCTGGACAATAAGAGAGTCGGACATCACAGTGTGTTTGCATGTACAGTGCAAGTTTGCCTCGTGTGTGTGTGTATGCCTTTGCCAGCTTTTGTGTCGTCTCTTTGTGTGAGTGAGTCCATGTGGGTGGACGCCAGTGTGCATTGTATATGTGTGTATTTACACTTGTGCACGCAGCCCACAGTGCACCTGGAGTGCCGCGTCAGAAGCCCATCTTTAGCAGGGAAACAGATGGAAGAAACCTGAGCGCCATGTAACTGGGAGATCTGATGTAACTGGGGAATTCGCTGCCTTCAAACACTTGCGCAGACTGCCAACAGCGAGCCTCTGCTCTCCTCAAAACACAAAGTCTGATGGCTGGACGATAGCCATTTTGAAAAAGAATTTAAAAAAGAAAAAAAAAAGAAAAAGCAGAACAAAAAAACAAAATCTGTTGAGAAGAAAAAGCTTCAGAGCGCTCGACTGACTGTTGGGATAAAGGTTTTGTTCTTATTCTGAAGTTACTGGAGTGTTACCGTGAGAAAGACATTAGCATTAGGTTGGAGAGCCTGGTAGCTTTTGGTGCAGCACATAAAGGGCTGCAGGTGTTGTGGGCTTGTCCTTATGTGACCACACTTGCTGTATAATTCTGCTGTGATGCTCAGAATGGATTTGATTTTGCATCTGTCCATCCACCCTCTCCCCCATTCACCCCAAGGATCACTCAAGTACCAAAAATAGTTCCCCAAAAATATCCTGCCGCTCTCACACACACTCAAGGGTCTTTTCTTCCCTTTGCTCTGCTGCATCTTCAGTATTTTTTTCTGCATTTCTTAGCATCTTTGCTGCCTGTATCTACCCACCCCGCCTCACCCCATGTTTTCCTTTCAGTACCCCCTCTGCGTGTTCTCTCTCCGTCTCACCTTTGTGTCTGTCTCCTCTCCTGCAGTCTCAACGTTTGTTGCTGCTGCTGTTTCTTTTTCGCTGCCACCACAAGCCTCCTCAGCTACTGTAAGCTTGGTGCAGCTGCTCCTCCTCTGGTGCTCAATGCATTTTTAAACAGTCCATCAAGTTCTAGCACAACTTGTTTTAAAAATACATCTGCTGATTAATTGATGGAGGAGGCATTGGAGGTTGGATGCAAACCAGGAGGGCTACCTTCTCTTCTGAGCGATATAAACATTTGGCTTTTTTATCGCGCAGTCCCCGGTGACTCTGTAGTCCACATGGGTAGCACTGCAGAAAGGGTGTGACACTGTTTGTGTGGGCCTGTCTCTGTGCATGTTGGTGTGCGTGCACAGGCAGGAAAGAAGATGGATTATGAGTGTGTTTAAGTGGATTTGTAGCTTCACATTTGCCTGCGATTGTGTGCATGTGCATTTGTGCATGGATTTGCATTTCTGCATTCGTGTATGTGGGTGTAAGAAACAGCGTGGCCTACTTATACATCTTATTTGCAGAGGTGATTTATTATTTTGGTCCATCTTGTAGACCGGAGAGCTGGGAGGCTGGATGTTTGCTCAGGAGGCGAAGAGATGAAGGTGCCAGGCAGGATGCTAATCCTAACCACGGGTTAGCATGAGAGTGAGACATGAGAGGCAGCAGGACAAAAGGAGGCTATAGACTGAAACAAGGAGAGTTTGCAAGAAAAAAAACAAGTCTCTGGGGAATTGTCTCACTCCTACGGGTTGTTGAGCTCCGCTCTGTCCTTTGTTGTCTCTCTGATCGACACTATCATTTGATTTAGCACCATGAGTTGTAATCTTCTGACTCAAGCTGCTTCACAGGAGCACAGAGGAGGAATATTGTAATTACACAGATTAGACTATTGTGTTAAATACAACTGTTAGGCCTCTTTATGAGTATAAATAGCTTAGGATCAAATCATTTGTCTTTTATAAATGCAAAGATCTAGAGGAGTTAGTGAAAAGGAAAACAGAGCTAAAAAAAAGATTGAATATTGCACATTAACCAGGTGCAAGGATGTAGGTTTGGTTTAATCTGTGGTGGGGACGTTTTCTGTCAGGTGGCCTAAATAATATGTGCACTTGTTCTTTATCTCTCTTGTATCAATCATATACTCTTGTGCAAACACAAAGAGCCTGACACTGCAGAAAGTTTACTTCGATTGAATATGTTTGCTGATATAACTCGCCTGAAACTGGACTTGTATCATGATTTTTTCCCCAAAAAAATTTAAACAGATGTTTTGCTGTTTTTGAATTAATAGTCTTGACATGATGGAAGATGGTGCGCTCCTCTGTTTGAACCAACTATCTGCTCTGAGCCATTTTCTAATCTCACCTGAGATTCTGTAGCTCTGTCCTTTTTCTTGTTTTGTTGATTTGGGCGACACAACCCAAAAGTTTTGGTGACAGAGACACAGCGACGCTCAGTCTCATCTTTAAATTATATCAAAAGGACATCAGAGCTCACCTGTCTGCGTGTCTGTGTTGCTCAGGCTGCTGCTGACGGGCTATTCAGAATACAATGATGCCTGACATTAAAGAAACGAATCAGTTCGACAGGCTGTGGTTAATTTACTTCATAAATAACACTCATGTTTTAATACCCACATGCAGTAAGAGCTCTGCTCTTCATGGAGAGGGGGAGGGAGGCATTAAACAATAAATATTTCTCCAGCTAATTTCAAAGAGGGTAAATGTCCCTGCTGTCAACTCACAAATCTACGCCCATGGTCAGGTGACCAGAAAAACAACTAACCACTAACACGCCGCATCAATTTTATAGGGTGATATTTGCCATGGTTGTGTTTACAACTTGTTGTCCTGTAAAAATCAATGAATGCAGATAAAAAAAAGAAACAATTTAATATCTTTTGGAAATTCTCTGATTCACTTTATTTGCCTGTGAAAGTCGGTGAGTAGGGATATTTCCATAAGTGTTTAACTAGTCCTTTTAAAAGATAAGTGATTTTTCAATAAAGTTATTCTTATTAAAGTTCTGCATCGTGTTAAAGGTTTCAAACTGAATCTATAAACCTGGATCTATAACTTAAAACCCTTTTTTTTCATCCATACCTGTCTGTCTTCCATATACCAACTATTTTATCAGATCCTGAGCTGCAGCGGTGACTTAAAGCCGGCAGTGGAGCATTAAGAAGGAACAGCTATAATTCCTGTTCTTGGGTATAAAATGGACTTGGCTCCCCGCTTTCTCATGACCAGCATACCAATGACAGACTTTGGCACAGCGAGGTTTTGATGAGGCTTGTGGATGGAGGGAAAGTGTTGTTGCTGCTGCGCTCGGTGCTTTGACAGCTCTGTGTGTCACATTCTTAATCAGGAGGTGAGAGAGACGTCTGAGCACCGGAGCTGGGCTGAGAGAAGACAGGCTGAAGGCTGAGAATCCAGATATTATTAACAGTTTAATTGTGAACTGAGACACGTGTTTGGCAGAGTGGGTGAAAGACATTTAGCTGGTTTTGAAACTGTACTAGATTATAGAACACATGTGGCAGGATAGGAATGATAAAAAAGCGAGTAACAAGCTCTAGTGGCTCACTGTGATGTTTTTTTCTCTATGTGTCGTCTGGAGACTCAATTTCACTCATAACTTTCTGAATATCTGTATGAGAAGTTGTCAGATTTTATATTTTTTTGTCATTTCATCAGTCGGTTTTGATTTTTTTCTATAAAAGTGAACACTTTTATTCTTTTAACACATGGCACAGCCAGACTCCTGCAGCCTCAGGGTTGGCTGAGAGTTTACTTGAGTTTGCCACAGATGTTCTGCCTCTTTTCTGGGGAAAAGAGGTTGCAGGTGCTGCTGTTTCTCAAGCTTAATTATGCTGGAGAGCTGCTGCCTCTTGAATGCCAAGGCATCGTAAGAGTAGAGATGAATCACGGGCTGTTCTCCTCAGGGATGCACTTATACTACATCTGTAACTAACTGTAACATCCACCCACAGCTGGACACTGTTCATTGTGATGTATAGTACAGGCCTCCGTCTATTCAGTAATTCACCCCTCATCATATGCACCTACAGTTATGTAATCATGATTTACTGTATCTGTGAATTATACTGTGCAAATAATGCTGTGTTTTCACAATTCACCGTAGCACACTCTTACAAAAGTTACCACAGGTGTGGATAAAATGAATGTTTGCCCTCTTCGCTGTAATGTGAAAGGATAGATTTGTATTTTTATAAGTCATATTACAGGTCCAAATGTGCATTGAAAGATTGTTCCTTCTGTCCACACTGGCTGCAAAGAGATCCAAATTTTAAATTAGTTTCAAAGAATATGAGCAGGGATGAAGCTCACATTCATCATTCAGAAGTTCAGCTGAAGTAAATATGAGATTTCAGCGGTCTGAGTTAGTCAAATCAAGTTTCCAAAGTTGCAGTCGTCTGGTACCAAGGTCCTTCTTTTCAGAGAGGAAACTCTGTCCATGAGGCAGGAAGAGAACATTTCATACTGAAAAGACGGAAACGTGAGAATATAACCATTTGGCCGGTCTAACTCAGGCTTCATACTCACTTCAGATAAACTTTGAAATGTATTTTTGAACAAAACCGAGGTCTTTGGATTTCATCACCGTGTCTTACATTGACTTTGCGTGAGGAAGAGATGTTTTTGTTGAGATGTACGGCACGCTTCAGGCCCAGGACCAAATGACGGACTGGCGAAGTCTCAGCGACTGACTGGTGGATAAAAGAGTCCAGCTTCCCATGTGAAAACCAAAAGTCAATGTTTTCCGTTCCACAACCTGAACTGCATGTCTATTATTACAACCGTGTAACCACTGTAACAATGTAACCATGGCGACGAATTTCCTCTAACCATCACCAAGTACTACCCAAACCACAATCTTTACTTAAACCCAACCAAGTAATTTTGGTGCCTAAAACGAGTCGGTCATATTGTTGTTACCATGACGATGAAGGTCCAGTAGGTCAGCAGCCGGTGTGGTCCTATGGTTTGTATCCAAGGGTAGGGACAAACGGCCTCTATGGTTGTTTCAGTTGGAGGACTTGTTGACTGTGACACAACTTCAAATGAAGTCTGATGTCACTGTGTATCTGCTCGATGTGTAAACACGTCATTTTAACTTTATGAGGAGACAATATGTCAAAGTTGTGTTTACAGCTTGATGCGCTGCCCCCTAGTGGCCAAAACTGTCAAATACTGCGGACAACAGTGTGGCAAAGACAGTGACTGATGCTACTTCTGGCCACTTCCTTTGAAAGCCGTAACCCTTCTTTTTTTTATATCTGTTTGCCCATACACAATGTAATATGCAGTATATTGAATTTCCATATATGAAATAAATGTACATGTAAAAGAAAAACATATAAATTATATATGAAACTTATCAGAAATTTAAACTGTTTCATATGTTGAAATACACGTCAAGCCAATACAAATATGTATGTATGTTTATATTAGTGATACATAAATATCTATCCGTCCCACAGCCCATCAATATATGTTGATGTTATATTAAGTATTCTCAATACAAACATATATAACCACACATAATTTTTATTTGTTGTTTTAATATGTTTATATATATATATATATATACATATAGTCGCAACATGTTATATATCATCATATAGATATAGATCACATCATACTTATACAAATTAGTATTTCATATATGTTATAAACTTATATCATCATATGTCCATATATTTGATAAGAACATATACCCTCATGTGTGACTATATAGGTCAATAAAGGTTCTGATTATGACCAGTGCACCTCTTACATTATACATCTGTATTATCATATTACTCATCATTCATCAGGTGAATGCACGACATTCAAGCGACTTAAATGAGGCTTTCAACAGGCCGTAATCATCAGAGTTAAGACTTGAGTACTTAACATAATAACAGCATGGAGATGTGTGTCCACCAGGCGAATGAATGAAGCAGTTAGTCTTTGCTCCAGTGGAAACGAGCACAGAGTCACTGCGCTCGATCTTCAGCTTCACTCAAGGCCACTGGAGATTTGACGTGTGGCGTCCCGCTGAGATACACACTGATGAAATGAAACACGGCTGTAACAGACGTGCAAATGGAAACTCTGATCTTTACAGCTCTTCTCCTCAGTCTCTGTCACAGCCTCGTCTTTAACGGTACTACGTGCAAATAAATCTCACACCAAGCAGAAAATGATACGCTGACATTTTATCAGCCACCGGCACATTCTCTGTTCTATTGCAGATCAGGCAGCGTGTCAGAAACCTCATCTGCACATGTGCTCAGAAACACCGCACGTCCATGTGCATGTGTGGAGAAGCACAAATCAACATGCAAATACACACGTACTCAGATTTAGTCACACGTATACATGCATATGGAAAACAAGGTTGGTAAACATTATCCGAGACATATAGAAAATAACCCATCAAACTCTCATTTCTAATGTGTTCTGGCAGCTGACATATGAACAACATACAGATAAGAGATGTCAGCGGGAGCTGTGGAGGTGTGAGATATCTGCGTGGCCAAATCTGCCTCCAGCTCCGGTTCTCACAGGCTGTAGACTTACATCATTTTCATTTCCAATTCCTTCTCTGTGAATATGAGAGAAATATGACAACAGCGGATGTGAGTGATTCATCGCTGACAAGAAAACAAAGTATAACATGGTCAATGTGTCCGGGAGTGTGTGTTGTAACTCTGCTGTACCTCTCTGCAGGTGATGATCCTGTACTTCCACCCCAGTGTGTTTCGATGCATCCTCCTGAGGTGGGTTCGTCTCCTGGGATTCGCCATCATGTACGGCACCGTCATCCTCAAACTATACAGGTACGGGAAACTGAAACTAACACTAAAAGCACTGGAAGCAAAACAGGAGTAATCATCCTGAGTGACACTGATGTTTTCTGCTCGTTGTTTGACCTTCCTCTGAATGATTCCTCCCTCTAATAAAGAAAACTAAAGTGAAAGCAGAAAGGTTAAAGTATGGCAGCACGGTGGTGCAGTGGTTAGCACTGTCACATCCCAGCAAGAAGGATGAAGGACTTACATGTTCGCCCAGGTGCTCTGACTTCCTCCCACAGTCCAAACACATGCACTTTAGGTTAAATTGCCTGTACATGTATCATCTGATAACCTGTCCATGGGGTGCCCCGCCCTCGTACAACGGCAGCTGGGATTGGTTCCAGCCATCTCTCCTCCTCTCCTCTTTCCTATCTCCTCTCCTCATATTAACTTGCCCTATGAATTAGCCTTTCTCAGTCTCAATAATTCAGTTCCCTCTCTCTTGTGCGCACACACACATATGCACGGAGTCTTGCCAATAAGCACATTTGAATTTCACATCAGGTTCAGTCTATCAGCGTCTGCCTACTGAAGTATCTAATCAGACGCAAGCACACACACACACACACACACACTCACTTCCTGCTCTTCAGCTCCGAGCAAGTGTTGCAAGAGATGAGAGAAGGAGGTCAAAGGCCGGCCAAAGTGTTCCCTTGGCAAAATTACCAATTTGATTTTCTTCCGAGCTCGCTGGGTGTGAAGTGTGCCCCATGGGCAAGCTCTTACAGCCCGGTCCCACTGAATATATCAGAGATGAGATAGATTTGTCACAGTCTGGTCGAGAGACGGCAGATGAGCAGAGCAAACAGAGCTGACTGTTCTGTATGTCTGAAGCACATGGCAGCTTTCTTCACATAGAGCTCCACCTCTCCAGTATCAGATCACTTTATGCTACTTTGATTGTTCTGGCTGATGGGCTGCATCTTTAATTCCCTTTATAGAGTCACTGCTGTCCTGTGTGCACGCCGTGAAGACTATAAACACTGTGCAACTTATAACTAAACTGCCTCTGCATGCATTTTGTCTAATATTCAGATTCAGATTACTGCAAGATTCAGATTCAGATTCAGACTACTTCCCTAAGACGGGCAATTCCTTTTTCAGCTTACTCAGTCAATACACGCAACTTCAAAACTCACATAGATGGATCAATACAAGGGAACAACGAGCAACAGTAAGTAAAATAGATAAAAAATAATGATAATAATATAGATTAAAAAATAGTAGAAATACAAAAATGTAACAGTCATTTACGTACGATGACAACTCTGTGTTTAGTGGCCTGATAGCAGAAGCTATGAAGGACTTGGAGTAGCAGTTTGTTCTCGTGGCATCATCCTGAGGGCGTTACAGTAAATCCACTGGACAGAACATGGTCCGATTGGCTGATAATGCCTTTTGCTTCCTGGCCTCCCGTTTCTCCCAAAGGGAGGACAAGTCTATTTGCTGGAATCCAATTATCCTTGAGCAAACATTCACAGTACCATTTAGGCTATTCTTTTCCTTTACGCACAACGCATTAAACCAGCAAACAAACGAGAAAAATTCGAAGACTTTCAATGAACGATTGATAAGAAATGACATAAAATGCTATGAAACACATGAAAGGAGTTAAGCTTCCTCCATAAGTGAATTGTCTGTTGTCCCCTCTTCACAACTGACTGTGTGTTTCCATCAAACTTAAGCTGAGAGTCGAGCACTGTTCCTAGATACCTATCTGTCCTACCTATCCTAAGAGATGTTACACCATGAATTAAACCAATCACACTTGACGCCCATGACTGGACTGAAATAACAGCAGCTTGTCTCCCTCGCACCTTTTAATTCAAGTGGTCATGTCTCCCAGGGTGTTAAAGGTGTTCCTGTCCCGCACGGCCCAGAGGACGCCTTACATGACCAGCTGGCGCGTCGTGCGGCTGCTGGGGATAATTCTGCTGGTGGTGCTGTGGTTCCTGGTGGCCTGGACGTCCGCCGTGTGCCAGAACCCTGAGCTGAGTCGGGCCCTGATCGCTGTAGGCCTCACCCCAGAGGGACTACAGTTCAGCATGTGTCTGCTGGACCGATGGGACTACATGATGGCTGTCGGTAAGTGTGTGTGTGTGTGTGGTCACTGTGTATTAATGTCTACAGGACAAGAAATCATCCAGAATGAGGAAATTCTGGTGCCACTTACCACTTAAACTATAAGGAGCTTTTGGGCAGCTTGGGTCTAAGCCTCTTGGGTAAAGCTTAAGATTAAATTTAGTTTAGAAACTTTACTTTTGGAAAAAGCTGCAGGCAGGGTGAGAGGGAAAAATTGTTTGGTAACACTAGTGGAACATTTTAGTTGTAAATGCTTGAAATCTACTCATTCCTGCTTCGAAGGGTATCTTGTATTCTGTGGGTGAGTTTATTCATTAAAGAGGAACTTGAAGGTGCTCTGCTGTGGAGCAATATATTTATGAGGCGGTTTCGATTTTTTATTTTTTATTTTTTTGGTGACACAGTTCACATTCCCCTCAATGGTTTCACATTATTCCTCTACAGGTCACAGTAACCTAGTGACAAACACAGCGATGCCAACACAGGCATTGACAGCAAGTAAATACAGTTGTTAACAATGAAAGATTTGTTTGTTGCTTTGATATGCCACATATTCCCTAGAGCAGTGGTTCTCAAAGTGGGGCCCAGGGACCTCCAGAGGTCCTTGGGGGGGGTTCTTAGGGGTCCCCAGCAAAAAGGCGAATAACTTATTTTCACTATAATTCCATCTGTAAAACACAATGACAGAATATATCGTGGGTTTTTAAACGGCTCATTTGGCTGTGGCAAAAATTTTATCACACGGGGGTTTAATCTGTGGTTTCATTTGTGTCATGCTTGATGTGAAAAAGTGCCCATGACTTCTTTCGGAATATTTTCAACAGTTTTCTTAAAGTAGGCAACATGAAAATGCATAGAAATGTAAGAAAGTACATCTGACAGATATTCTCGGGAAATTTATCTTGTAACCTTTCCTACAGGGACTGGTGGCATCTCTGAAAAATAAGTTTGTAAGTTCTAATACTTTAAAGTCCTGAGGCTCCCGTATCGTACTAAAAAGTAAACAGTCTGCTACCGTTCAGAAACTGATGGGCACAGTGAGGCAAAAACACCCTCTCCGACCTCACAGCTCTGAGCTCCAATGTGAAATTGCACCACTGGCAACTCATCTATTGTGGGCAGTGCGGTCTTCGTCTGCACTGTACGGGAGGGGATGGTACCGACAGCAGATGGTTTGGACACAAAGAGACTGTCTGAAGTCGTTAAACTGCATCTTGAAATTTCCAGTGAGTCCTAAGCACAATGCCTCCGTTGTTGTTCACGCCAGGCGGAAATGAACAGGTACAGGCCATGGGAGTCCTGATCTTGTATGAATGTGATGAACTGCTCTGCTTTGACTCGCGTCTTGTGGGAGATGTAACAGCTGCCTCTTTAAGCGGCCCATAAAATGCTCCAAAACACACAAGCTGCTGGTTAAAAGACTTTATCGAATGCCTGTTATAAACCTTACTTTAAACTATTGTTACGGTTTATTTTCAATTTAGTTTTTGACCTTTGATTTTAATCTTGTCTTTAAAGCTGCATCTTTTCGTGAAAGGTGCTATCAAGTTATTATTAATGCGCTTTTAGGGATGTGTTTATTTAGCGCACTGCCATTGAAGCAGCATTTTGCAAAACCTCAGCTCTGAACTTGATGTTAAATAGATGCAGTTGTGAATTTTGATTATATTTTCCATTGTTTGATTTGACTTTCCCCACACAAACAGTTTAATGAATGGCACTGCGAGTTAGGGTAACAAAGGAAGGCTCTAATAAACAGGATGGCGTGCCTTTGTCTTACATTAAGTAGGGCTGCCACCAGCATGAAAGCAGAATACGTCAAGAGGGCAGACGGTATCCTTAAATGTCTCATTTATTCATAAAGCCTTTTACCAGCATGTCTCGAAGGACTTCCCTGAGGATGAGCATATCAAGTTTTAACTAGGTAATAATCTATCCCACAATAAAATGGAGTAATGAATTATGGAACGTCATAAAACATATGGAAGCAAATCTAAGCACAATCTATAGGATTTCTTATCTAAACTGAAGTGAAATTAACTGCTTTATTGAAATGTTTTTGAATGTGTGTTTCTTATATTGTTGCTACTGCAGCTTCACCTTGAGTGTCCGTACTCTGCTCGGCTTCCTTACACATTTCAATCTAACTTTTTACATTCTGTTCTCGCCTCTTTGAGTTATCCTCATCCTTAGATTCACATTAATCCATAGATCATAAATTATATATATTTCCAACTAGGCACATAAGACATAAAATGTAAGTGAACCAGACTATAAGAATTAGTTTTTTATTGAGGTATCCCTAACGTTACCAGTTTTGAGCTGTATTATCAATCCTTTAGGGACTGAATGAAAATTACTTGGATGGCGAGGGGGGCGGAACCGTCTTTTTGACTTGAATTGCGAGGTCATTAAAGAGGACCTTTTATGGCCATTTTAAGTGTTAATCATTTCATTCTTGGTGTCGACTAAAAAGATTTACACGCTTTAATGTTCTGAAAAGACATTAGTTTTCTTCTGCTGTACATTTAATACTGTACTGTCTTCACCCTCTGAAACACTCTGTTAGAGCTCAGGGCTCTTTAAGGCCCGCCCCCCACCCCCCCCCCCCCCCCGAGAGCTGGAGCCCAGTGTGCTCTGATTGGTCAACTACCATGGCAACGACACGTTCCGCACGTCTTGTGTAAACAAACTTCAGATGACAATATCCATAACTTGCAATATTTTTTATAAGAAACCCTTTTGATGTTTTTATGTGTGGACACTTCCGGACTAAAGGAATATAAATAATGGAGGAGCAGACAGACGGTCGACAGGTAGGGAGTCTCCACCTCTCCTGCTGGTTTACAATGCCCGTAAATCTGAATGAATTAAACGTTATTGGGCATAGTTACTGAAAAACGAACTCAGCGGTTAAACTGTGGATAATTTAGGTACAGCATGTCACAACGCGATCGGCTCGCGGTAACGCTGTCAACATCCACAGTAACAATGCAGACTGACAGGCTGTGAGGCTTAGTCACCTGTGAGGCCACATCAAGTGTGAATTACAGAAATAACTGCTGTGAAAATGAAGCATCTGACTGTTTGTGGTTTCTGAAGCAGTCCTCCTTGAAGTGCTGGCTCACACTATAATGTTTGGAGCAGTGGAGAACCGTGGAAAAATGAAGTAGATATCTGCAGGAGGTTAAGAACACTGCCTTTTGCACATGGCTACAAAACTAAAGAAAACTCTTCACCATAAGTACTTATGGTGCCTTGTGTGGGGGTGCGTGCCAAGCTTGCAGGTGGGCAGCACCAAGAGAAGTATTGACCAGGAAGTAATGTCTGGACCCCCAACGAGGCGTTTCATACAAAGGAGAAAATTGGGTTTTTACCCTGACAGAGTTTCTCCCTTTGTTGTAAATGAAGGGCTCCCAGGGATGGGAAACCATGATAACAAATATGTAACCTGTATAAAGCAGGTAAAGCAGAGGAATGAGGACACAGGTCGTCTCGTTTCCTTTCCAGATTGCCTCTGAGGAAACAGCAGCAGGTGCGCTCCCTAACCCTTCCCCGGAGCAACTCATAGGAACACGAACGCCCCCACCCCCCATTACCCATATAAACGGAGCACCTCAAGACCATATGACTTCTGATTGAAAATCAGAAGTCATATGGTCGGTAGCAATCATTATCCGTCTTGCCAATACCACGTTCCGTCACGATTCGGGAAAGGCTGGACCCAAATGCAGCCAACACAGGGGAATGAGGTGCAAAAAGTTTATTAACTTAAGAACCTGCTGGTGAACCACAAAAGGAAACCGAAGCACAAGGGTTACACAAGAACTTAAACAGCAGGTCAAAACACGAGGAACCACAGGGGATGACAACAGGGGACATGAACTGGCAACATGAACAGACTGAGGAAAAACCATAGATGAACAGACGAACCAGCCCAGACAAACAGGAGCACAAAGACTAAAAAGACACAAGGGAGGCAAGGCTGATTGAACAAAGGTGAAACACATTAGGGCGGGGCAGGCAATCACCACACAGAGAAACAGGACCAAGACAGGAAGTAAAAACATTGAGACACACAAGGAAATCAATTACAAAAATAAAAGAGGAAGTGACAAAAGTCCAAAAAAAGCTAACAAAAAGTGTGCCATGGCAAACTATGACAGCCAAGAGCTTCAGCCATTGATGTGTTTACAAAACAAGATGTTATAATACGCCCTCTGAGCTACTTCTTCAGGGCAGACTGGACGCCACAGTGACTCGCTATAAGAAAATGAAGAGACCGTTAGACCGGGCCGGGGCTAGCTGGTTAGCATGCTTACTCTCAGCAGAGGAGAAGAAGTGATAGAAACAGAAGCGAAACAAGAGGGTTGCTTTCCACCGCTGGAGACAACTCTCGGCGAGTAAAGGAATGAAGTCTGATGCTGGACTTGCAACGTTTCTTTTAGACTGGTACATAAACAGCTGTTAATGGTAATGTTGGCTATATGTTGCAATAGCAAAACTTACAAATAGCTCCTTTAAATATGGTAAAACTCACCAATATGGTCCATAAATAAATACACAACCCTCCTCCTTTTCTGACCTTCACTAATATTTTTTTCTCTAAAAGCCCAGAATGAATAACATTGACCAACTAACAAGAAGGAAGAGTAATTGCTGAGCAGCTGCAGGTACTATCCTTCAAGTATCTCTCAAGTCGCAGACGGCCGTGTGTGTGTGTGTGTGTGTGTGTTACAGTCACTTCCTGATGACAGATTCTTGAAGCAGGAGGCATTGATGGGCACCTCACTGAAGCCAGTCTGACAGCAGGGGACACTAATCCTGTTTGGAAAGAGGGAAAGGATGGATCCCTGAGAAATGCTCGGCCTGCCTCTGAAAACTGATAGACAGGCAGACAGAGAGGAAGAGAGACGGGAGTGGCAGAGAAAAAGAAGAGAGGGGACTGTGAAGTATGAAGCTTGTAGGGATGTGGGCAATGATGCAAGGAGAGTTTTCCACCAGCCCAGGAGAAGGGGGGGGGTTGAGAGGAAGAGAGAGGTGGTGAGGGGAGGACAGCTGAGGACACTCTGAAGACAGGAGACAGAAGAACAGAAACATCTTCAGAGGAAGCGTGTGTTTGAGGGACACAGCGCTTTGAATGGAATTAATCACACAGAGCACAACAAGCCCTCTGTTTGTGTGTCTGCATCTCTACATGAGTGTCGGTTTGCATTTTCATGTGCATACCAGACAAGGTGGGAAATGAGGAAGCCCCGCTGCTCACTCTGACAGCCAGTGAGAACACACCGGTGTGTTAAAGCTACAGTAAAGGACAGGAGGCCCCCTGCGAAGGATTTTTGACAATGCACAAGTCACGGTGCACGTCATGTTTGTGAGAATTAATCTAATTGCTTTTCAGCCTTTTTGCTTGTTTTATCATAATACCAACAAAGGAACACATGTCTATCTAAAAAATGAATAAATCATCCTATTTTCTTCTGCAATGTGAAGCAAAACAGAGCTGATGCAAAAACATATTGATAACGTCAGCAATAAACAATTAATTTGAATATGCAATTAATCTGCATTAGTTGGAATTGTTATCCTTTCCCTCTTGCGACCAGCTCTCCGTGCGTCCCGATTCAGAGGCTAAGCACCATGTAATTAGTGATGATTTATAGACTAGGCCTATTCATGAATATTAATGGTCTGTAATCACTGTAAAGACTTTATGGACTCATATGCCAAACACAGTCCAAGGCACAGTTCTTGGTGCTATTTGCTGTCTGCAAACAAAACAACAAAGTTTGTGTAGATTGTATCAGAGGAAAACCTCTGACTTTGTGATGCTTATTTGGGATTTTCATATCAGTACATTATAAGGAAAAATGTGTTTTATGTGCAAACATATTATTTTTTCTACCAGCAGTAAAAAAAGAAGCATCATCTTTTCGTTCTACACCAGAGAGCAGCAAGTACAAAATGTTTTAGACTGCTGCGGGCCATAATTTCATACCTCCAAAATGCAGCATCCATCAAGGAATCCTCTTCATCACGTCCAAAATAATTACTATTGATTTTTGCAACTGATGCTCTGTAAAATTTAATTCCACCGACAATTTAGATGATAATGTGCAGGCTGTGAACACACACCGTAGTGATTCTGACATGTGTTGATAACCGTGAAGCCAGCCACTGTTTTGAATACAACTTCCCTGTAAATTGCCGTTGGGCTGTGTGACCTTGGTGAGATTTGACGATAGCACGGATGTGTCAACAAGCAAGTCGAGGAAGCAGCTGCCTCACTTTGGGAAAACACTTCAAACACTGGGAAGTCTTGCTAAATTAAGAACTGCTCAATTTGAAACTACACAATTGGAGTCAACACTGTCGGTGTCTGGTGTCAAAGTGGGGTTAGTGCGTTAATGTGGGGTGAATAACAGTGTAACAGTAGTGCAGGTGAAAATCAGTTCTCAAAGGTATTGCTCAACATTTTGGGAAATACTTTTTAGAGCTTTTTTGTTCCTGAGATGGAGATGAGACAACTGATACCACTTTGATGCCTGTCTGCCAAGTATCACGCAGGAGGCGATTAGCATAGCTTAGCATGAAGACTGGAAACATGAAGGCACAGTCTTCTGATCTGTCCAAAGTATAAAAACATCCAGCTACACACCTTTAAAGCTCTCTACAAGTCTCTTCTGTTTAATCCATACACAAACAGAGACGTGAATATACAGTTTGATTTTCAGGTGGAAAGTCTTATGGTTACAGTCTGTTTGCCAGGTGTGGCGTCGTCGTCTCTCCACAGACCTGCACTCAAAACAATATTTAGCCTTTTATGTTTAGCGATTTATGTATTTTCATTGCATTGATCCATTTGGATTACACAGTTTTAACACAGTTTTAATAAACATAATGTAATGCATAACAAGTAAGACTGAGATTTATGTCATAGTCCCAATAAATCCAGTGCGTTTAAAATGCTTAATAACCAGGTTTATGCAATATATTTAAAACAGACAGAATAAATCTCATTCTTACTTTTTTCATTTATGTTTGATAAATATGCATCACATTAAGTTTATTAGTTTGTTTATATTACAATTGTGTAATCCAAATGGATAGAAATCATACATACATCTTAAATATTAGGCCAAGTACTTTTTTTGAGCGTGGTAAACTAAAAGCTGACAGTTTTTGGCCAGCTGGGCGGCTAGATTAATTGCATTTTTACATTTCTGGTTGTGTATGGATGAAACAAAGAAGATGCAACTTTGTATTTAACTCAGAGAGTGGTTTCAATCTTTTCATGTAACACTTTAAAAGAAAATGAGTGTGTGTTTTTGCCCATTATTTTTTAATCATTATGCTTAACGATGAGTTGGTACATTGTTCATTCAGGAGACAAATGGTAGCCATTCTGAGCAGGAAATACAGACTTTAAAACACTAATTAGGAAAAAGAGGTTAAAGACAATAACAACTTCGAATCAAGTGATGTCATCTAACTATCTCTGTGACCTTTTTCTCTTGTTTGTTTCTCTTGTTGCTGCCCAGCGGAGTTTCTGTTCCTGCTGTGGGGCGTGTACCTCTGCTACGCCGTCCGCACTGTGCCCTCGGCTTTCCACGAACCACGTTACATGGCTGTGGCCATCTACAATGAGCTCCTCATATCGGCCATTTTCCACATCATCAGGTGAGAAAGGAAAATGGGGATGGGACAAGCATCAGTGGGCATGAACAGTAAGTGAGAGGAAGTGATGTGCGGTCCGAAGTGCATGGCTAAATCTCGTCCTCTAGCTGATTGAGAAAAAGGAAAGGGGAAGATCTAGAGGCATGAAACAGAGCTAAGATTGGAGAACAATGAAGTATCACACTTTGACTTGATGAACATCTCTGTGACAGTAATGAGGAAATGGCACGAATAATGGCAAGGGGCTTAGACGACTTTACCCCGTCTTGCAGCGCAAGCTGTTGTTTAATCATAATCATAGGGATATTTGCCTGTTAGCATGGGCATTACAAGTGTTGAACATGTCAGATGAAAGGTAGAGTTCACCCGCCCCCTTCATCAGGGAAATGAACACTGTCAGCAGAGCGCAGGGTAAGCCGGTTGAAAGGAGGTGAATAAAAAATGTCTTCCCTGGGCAGAGACACAGCATACATCTACTGTGCCAGAGCCCAGAATAAACTCTCAGTGCCGTGTAACTCTCTGTCTGTCTGTTACAGAGCTGGAGAGAGACTGCTCTAGTTACAGCGTTGTATTCAATTAGGGAAACTACTTCAGTATTTTAAATGTTAAATGTCATTTTAATTGAGTAACTCATTTATTTGTCTTGAAAATACCTTTAGGTTTGAGCTAAAATAAAGACACTCTCAAGTAAAATAAAGCTTATCAGGGTTCGTTGATTTATTTACCGGAATCCGAATCAAGGGGCTGTCCTTAAAGCTGAACTAATCAATATTTTAATATTAATAAGAAATATATATATTCATGGGAGAGGGGTCATTCGTAGTGATGAGGTCACAGATAATTATCATCTCACTCTAAAGTGCCTTTAGCTATAAAAGAGCCTTTTAGCATCTTTTATCTCATTGTTTTGGTTTTCAGGGGCCGTATTACAGAAACTTCTTATCTTAAAGTCTTAAGATTGGAAGAGTAACAACAAATGATGTTTCCCCATTTGATATTACACACATAGATCCTAACTAATAGGAAATCCTATCTTTCTTATCTTACTCCATCCTACTCAAGTTAGGAAATCTAAATAGTCAATCCAACATCAGTTATCAACTTTTAGGTCTGTTACCTAGCAACCAACGCTTGATTTAGTAAATTCTGACTCACTTACTATGCATTCTTGTTTGACTCTTGGGACCTTACACTGTATCTCAAACAAGCTGGTTTTATGTGCCTGTGTTGATTATATGGGTTTTGACTATCTGAGTTGAAAAGGAAACTACATTGTAAAATGGCGCATAGTAATAGTCAGACTTTTACAGGACTCCTGAACCGCAGAATACTTTGTCAGTCCTGTTGCAGGGGAAATAAAAGTGGTCAGGTGATTTTTATGGAGCGCCTGCAGGAGCCTCAGGCAAAAAGTCCCATTTGTCACACTCCCGATAAAACTGTTCCTGATTGAATATTCTTTCATTTATTCAGACGTCTATTGTGCTCAGTGGGATAAAAAGGAAAAGATCACATCCTTTTAATCTGTTAAGAAACCAAAAAGTCCAGTGGGTACACCTTCATCATCAGTGTGAAAGTGTTATAAATCAAACTGTTCTTGCTTGCTGGGGAATAAAACATTAGAGTGTTTTTCTTTTTGGGAGCTGACAGAGTCAGACTGCTGCTGCGGTCTAGAGATAAGGGTGGACTGGTGCAGAATGTGATGTGTATTTGTGTGGAGGGGAAGGGATGATAAAAACACACATGCGCGCACACACACACACACACACACACACACACACACACACACACACACACACACACACACACACACACCCTTTTCTCTTGGATGTCTAATGAATTATGAATATGAACTTGTTTAATAGGAGTAAAGGGCCAACGACCTCTGAGCCACCTTGGCGGATCTCTGATGAATGATGGGAAACAATTCACACTCACAACTCACTCTCTCACACGCACACTTTGCACAAAGTACACAATACTCTTAGCTCAATACCTCCTACATAATTGCATTGATCTGTCTGTCATAGTATGTGGCTTTGATTGGCTGTGGAGAATTGATGCCAAAATGCAGCTATACTTGTTAGAGCCCATTTCAGTTTTTCTGTACTGTTTCACCTTCTCCAGCAATAATTGGAGCAATTACCTGTTCCAGTGCTCATGGGTAAAATACCAGCTATGATTTACAACAGCTACAATAATAGTAATGATGACATGAAGTCTTTAAAAGAGACCGAAATCTCTGCTGTGAGCTTTGACAAACTGCACACATCTGAATTGAGGTAGTGGTGACAGAAATGGGGCACAATTCGTTTGTGGGAAATAATTTGCCCTGGTGTTTTGCTGATGGTGATAGAAAACAATATATTTCTCTTCTGTTCTGTAAACATTTATAAAAACTTTTCAAAAACCTATGTGACAAATGTACTTTGTCCTGTAAGAGAGAACCTCAAGCAGTGATAAGACTGACAGGACTTAACATACCAGACATATAATCAGGAGCCTGACCATGCTGAGCTTTAAAAAACGAAGTAATTAGGAAGAGCAGGTAGTGAGGGGGAGCAAGGATTTACAAAATCACATCTGTCTACATAAAGTCTGTAATACTCTTTAATGAGATGTACAGTTAAGTTTAGGTGCAGTATATTTGGTCACTAAATCCATATCATACTTTTCCTGTCTAAGCAGTCCAGACACATGCATGCCATCACACAGACATTTTTAGCGTTGACTGGGAGCCAAACCCGTTGAGCTGAGAACGTAGAAGAAGAGCAACGTGAGAAATCTTAGCGATAGGATACATTTGATATACTACCAACCCAGACACAGAAATACATAATATCATTTGAAATGGTGAAACCAGCTGTGAAAACATATTGCAGCCTCTGTTAAACATATAAGCTGTCAATATCTCTCTGTAAACAAGAAGCTAAATGCTAACGCCAAGTATTACAGACCATGTGAATCCTAAACAGTCTACATTAGCTTGTATAGGTTTGTTTTTGTCTGTGTGTTTTTTACAGCATGGATACCTGGGGACAAAAGAGGCATCATATCACAGAGTTATACTGCACTTCACTGCACTTTTTTGTACTAAAGGAAAATCATTGAAGAAACACAGACAAAGGGTTTGGGTGATGAATAACACTGTTTAACATTTTGCATCAATGAGGAAGAGACAGTAGAGAATAACAGAGAGGAGTCTACAGCCATGCTAGCAGCTATGAGGCTGTATTTAGGCACCATATGTACTTTAGGCTGAATGCTACGTCAGTATGCTAACATGTTCACAACGATAACGCTAACCGTGTTCAGCATTTTAGTTTTGAGTATAAGCATGCTAACATTTGCTAATTAGCATTAAACACAAAGTAAAATATCTATCTGTTGAACTATATTAGCCGCTAGCATGTCTGGTATTCTCAGGTGTGTATTTTGGCAGCTACCTGAGGCTCTACAACATCAGGCATTCAAAATGCATCTAGCCTCAGCACAAAATAACTGCACTACCCTAAAAACCAAGTTAAAGTGAACACATTTTTCATAACCTCTACAGAGTGCCTCTCAAAAAGGAGAGAACTGGTTCCAATAAATTGCTTCTTTTATAATTTTCACACAGCCTCTGTTTACAGTTAGTTTTATTTTTACGCCTCAGGGTTTGTGGTACATTTCATTCTGTTCTCACCCAGAGATTCACTAAAGGCTGCTTTTAATGTCGGGGTGTGTATGTGTGACTGAGCATGTTTCACAAACAACAAGTGCTCAGTTCGGCTGGCTTTCAAATATACAGTATATTTTGATAAAGTGCTGGTGAATGAACAGACTCTGTCCTGTTGATGTTTCTCCTGCAGGTTTTCTCTGGTGCCGGGACTTCACCCTGACTGGATGCTCATGTTGTTCTTTGCTCACACTCATCTGACTGTGACTGTGACTCTGGGCCTGCTGCTTGTTCCAAAGGTAACACTTTGTACCTGGAGCTCACGAACCATTTCGGCTCTTTTCTGGGCTGTTAGTTAAAAACAGAAGCAAATTCAAAAATGTTAAAAACTTACATTTATTCATGACCCCAAATTCTATGAAAGTGTATTTGTGCAACAGAACATTTTGACTGCAGGAAAAAAAAAGATTTTCAAGAGCAAAAATTATACTTTTTAGAGCAGTGGTGGAAAAATAACCAAGCCCAAGTACTGTAGGAGTACATTTCTGAGACATCTGTACTTAAATATTTCCATTTTCTGCTACTTTCAACTCCACTACATTTATCTGAGTTACTGGTTATTCTACAGATTAAGATTCTGCATAAAACATAAAATAATGATAAGGTTATAAAGCACTGGTTTCCAGCCTTCCAGTTTACATTGTTTTATGGGTATATTTTCATCTTCTACTATATATGTGTGTGTGTATATATATATATATACACACACACACACACACACACACACACACACATATATATTTATTACTTGACACTACTGAAGAGACCACCAAATTCTTTGTTAAAATCAATAAATACATTAATGTCCTCAAGTTTTTATGCAACTATATTTGTGCCTAAATTCTGAATTTTTTGCTATTGCATAAATTATACTTTTAGAGAAATTATGGTCACATAAAGCATTATTTAATGTGGGAAAACAAATATCTATTTTATGCAGTAGTACATTTATTTGCATTTTAGCTTCACATTTACATTTTTTGAGATTCATATCCATATACAAGCTCACTGTGACCGAGTGTCCATGGGTCGGAAAGTGCACAGAGAAGGGAATTGTAGAGAAGGCAAATGAATAAAAACTGAGTGAAACGGGTTATTATTGTGCATTATATGGGTAATGGCAAAAATGCTAATACATTCACTGAGCACAAAACAGATTTTAGTTTATTCAAGTTAAATTACTCAGTGAGTGGTGATGAAATTATAACCTATGTGCTGACAAAAAGTGGTAAGATGCGTCAGAATTTAACTACAATTATTCCATAGAGTTGAGGTACCTACAATAAATGATCGGGAAACAACTGATCTATAGAGGAGAGCAGCTTACATAGAAAGTGCTGCAGGGATGAGATCTCACTTTTCTTTCTTATAATTTCTTAGAAAATCCTTGGTTGTAATGGAGATTATATTCAGCACAGAGAATTTTCTTGAAGGCCACTGTTGTACTGTAGCTTATATATACACACACACACGTTCATTAATCATCTTAAGTTCATTTGATATTAGCGATCTGGAACACAGTCATACACAGCCACATTTGCTACCATTACCTTAAACTCATTCAAACTGCGTTAGTGGTTATTTTAATTTAGCTGAGCACTCCCGCAGGCGTCTTTATGTGCAATCTCTCAAGTCTGATGGAAAACATTTAATTCTCCTGCTGTGCGAGAAATGCAATACACCATCAGTGTTCTCCGTTCTTTCATTCTTTCTTAATTAGGCACCTCAGAAGTGCAAGTCAGTTGAGTACACTGGGATAATTAAGCATAATAGGAGGATGCTAATCTCACCCAGTGTCTGTTCCTGAATCTGCATTAAATATCTGCTCTCTCTTTTGTTCCTACATTTGTTATTCAAGCAAAGCTAAATAATTTGGCCATGGAAATCAAGTCAAAATAACATTGCTCTTTTCTTCTCAGTTTATTGTATCTTTGTAATAATGTGACCTCGTCTCACCTTTTGTTTCTGTGCAAAGGAATCCAAGTGAGGAGGAGATTAGTGCCAGCAAACACTGAAATGCATAAATTTGAATTTGTTATTCACAATTTGCATAGTTCCATAGAATAAAATATATATTTTTTTAAAGAATTGAAAGTAGCATTGAAACTAACTTTAGTAACTTATATTTAAATGTTTTACTAAACTCAACTTTTACCTAGTTGAATACCTTGGTTTTAGGTTTTCCTCATCTTACATTTGCATTTACATTTACCTGCCACCAGTTGGGAAAAGGCTTGAAACTTGAAATTTATTGGTAATTACTGGATGCAACAATCATTAATTTTGGCCATTTCATAGATCATATGAATCTCTGTTAATATTGTTTGGTTTAAAAAAAAACAAAAAAAAAAAAAAACAAGTCATTAAAGTTTAACAACAGGAAAGTCATTTTGACATAGATTATGACATAAAATCTACATCAGTAAAATATTTTGCAGTTGTTCACCTCCAGCCCACCTTAAACAGCTCCTTTACTCCATTTTCATTCTGTCAGTTCAATATGTCTAATGTTTCTTTCTTTATTTCCTCTAAAGAAATAAAGCTTCCTGTAGGCCAGAGATCATACTGCTTGAGAAACTACGATTTCCAATTGTGTATCTTTCTTCAGCCTCCCTGCAGGGTCATTGATGCCATTCTTAAACCTTGCTCTCCATCTGTCTTAGTTCCTGTCCAAAGGGACCCAGGCCAGGGACGATATTGCCACGGAGGCCTATGAGGAGGAGTTGGACATGGGAAGATCTGGCTCTTACCTCAACAACAGCATCACCTCGGCCTGGAGCGAGCACAGCTTGGACCCTGAGGACATACGGGTGAAGTAGCATTTAGAGTCATAGCAAGATATTAAGCCCGTTTTAGTCCAAACATCTATTTTTCATTCCTGCTGTCCCCTGTGTCACAACTGAACTAGGACTTGAACCCAAATGCACGACTCTGAGACAAAGTACCAATTAACAATATTTTAATAACAAAAGGACCCAAATAAAAATCACTTAGAGGAAAAACAACAAAGATTCAGGACAAAGGCAAAGACTAAGTATCAAAACAATGTAAAGCAAGACTATGGCAAAAACATAACACAGAATTCAAAACCTGACTTGGGATAACGTGGCCGGCGCAGTTCTCTGACGACACGACAAGACGAGCTGGCACAGGACAAAGGGAAACGCAGACTATATACACACACACAAGCTAATGGGAAACAGGTGGAAACAATCAGGGCGGGGCAAACAATCACACAAGGGAAAGGAGGAAGTTACCTGAAACGAGAGGAGAGTTAGGTTTTCAAAATAAAACAAGAAGTCACGAGACAGACAAAACTAAACATAACTTAACGTTTCTTCATGCTATTTACACAAAGACAGTGTCACAGACAGATCCCTATAGACCAGTAACAGTGCATAGGGATCTACAGTATTTTGAACAGCAGTATGCGTATATATTTCATGAGGATACAATAATAAAAATACCTTATTTTCATATTAAAGCTTAAAAGAACATTTTTTTTTTGACTCTACAAAAATGTCTCATTCTTCAGTGGAACAATTATTAGTTGATTCTTGACGCCACATGTTCATAACAATGGTAAAATGTTTGATTAATAATGATGATTTTTCTGTGATGGTAGACCAAGCTATTACACGCTTGACAAACTATTGGAAATTGCTCAGGCTGTCTGTTTCAGAACAGAACAATTCAGAAATACAGTTTTGAGTAACCACCTATACCACAAAGGCACGGTAATTCCTATGTGAGTTAATGTGAGTTATTCATACCTAAAAGTTGACCATCAAACTATGAATCAAACAGTTACATAGCAGCATCGTAGTTATTCAATAGAGTCTTCTTCCTTCTCCAGGATGAGTTGAAGAAGCTGTACGCCCAGCTGGAAGTCTACAAACGTAAGAAGATGCTCGCCAATAACCCTCATCTCCAAAAGAAGCGCAACTCCAAGAAAGGCCTGGGCCGCTCCCTGATGAAACGAATAACAGAGATCCCCGAGACGATGCACATACACCGGCAGTGCAGTCGTGAGGACGGCAGCGAACACGGCAGCAACCGCAGCACCTTGAAGAGGAACCCGTTTGAACCGAGTCATCAGGGTAAGTCCCTGGTTCCACCGATTTAGTTCAGGCAGGGTGATAACGGCAGCGTGGAAATTAAGAGAACCTATCACAGAGTTTCACCTTTGAAATGAAGAACGTGACAGAGCTGTTAGATGACTCTGAGCCTGGAGGGTTTTAAACTGTCTGCATCCATAAAAACTGCCTAAATGTTTAGAAACTTCACAAAATCTGTCATTGTTGCTAATCTGCAAAGATACAGTTTGTGTTCAAGGTGTAGTGTGATTGGTTTTGTCTGTTTAAAATGGAGAATTAAGCTGTAGAAATGCTTTTGTAATAAAACAAAAAAAAACAGCTCAGACCAAATCGTCTGGGAACTGTGGATGTGGATAAAAATTTTTGTGCTAATCCATTTTGTGGATGTAGAGATATTCAACTCGTTAAGGTTATAATACGTACACATTGAAATGTCTAAAAATGTTATATATTTTTTGAGTTGTATTCTTACATTATTTCAAATACGTGATTTACAATGTGTGTAATTTGGTCGACTGTCAATGAGGAGTTAGTGAAACTACTCCACTTTATACCAGTCTGTTAATACTCCTTCTCTCAGGCAAACCACGGGATGACTCCCTGAAGAACAAAGTCATGGGTTTGAAGAAGTCCCTCAGCTATGACCATGTTTGTGACCAGGATGAGGAAACTGGAAGCCAAACCGGCTCGACCGCAGGAGACAAAATGACTCCTGTTGGAGGCGGCGGAGAAGGATCTCTGCTGGGTTCCCTCATCGGCCGGAGACACGCCAAGAAGCAGCTAGAACCAGCTGCCACCCCACCGAGACTGGAGCCAGCCGAGTCCACCGAGTCTGTTCCCCTGTTCTGGAAATCAGCCAGCGCTCATAACTTAACACACGAGAAGAAACCCGTCCACCTGCGGACCTCCATCATGCAGAAGTCTCTGAGTGTGATCGCCAGCGCCAAGGAGAAGATGCCGGGCCTTACCAGCAAGACGCAGAGCGTGGAGGACGCCAGTAAGAAGGGTCTGAAGGGACAGGAGGGGAGGATGCTGTCCGAGGTGGATGAGACACCTGAGCATTATCCAAAAATGATTATCAGCCAGTCAGTGGAGTACTCCAAGACTCCAATGAAGATGGGCATCATGAAACAACAGGTGATTTTTACACTTTTACCTTCCAAATACAAAGTGATTGATGCATTTGTGTGTTTTTTTTAGCTCTAGTGCTGAAATGTTTAGTAGCTCAGTGGAAGCTGAAAAGTGTTGTATGATGTCACAGGCAACACATGCAACAACTGCACCTTGACTTTAGATTGTTTTGCTGCTCTATTGTAACAGGTGAGTGGCAGCCAGCCGTCGATTTGCTCTGAGACGGGGAAGAACCTTTACGACGTGTCTGAGGTTTGTCCCTGGGAACTGGAAGAACCTCAGACGCCCTCCGAAGCCAAAACCCAGAAACATGTTTCCATCGCTCCTGGAGAAACCACCGGCAGCCGGAGAGGCAGCAGCAGCTCTGGAATCACCAAAGGTAGCCGGTCCCAGCAGAGGCAGAAAACAGGGCAGTCCCCTTCCAACAGACGCCGCTCCAAAGATAAAGGCGGAGAAAGAGAGGAAGGCAGGGAAACGAGGAAATCTCGGCCACCCAGGTCACCTCTGCCTCTCAAGCCGGATGTGTGCCCCTGGGAATTTGATGAGCAGCCCATGCTGGGAGGAGATTCAGATTCCATCTCCCCAGACAGGATCAGGCGTAAGAAAAGCGTCACACCCACTGATGGGAAACCCAAGGGGCTCCACTCAGACCACTCCAAGTCCACAGGGAGCCTTTTACAGCCTCCCTCCCTGATGGTCGAGATCTGCCCCTGGGATTACACCAGCCCACCTTCACCTAAACAGGAGAAGACCTGCAACAGCCCCACCACGCACAAGAAGAAACGGAAAGGCTCCTGCTCGTCCAACCACAAAGCGGAGAAGGAGAAAGGGCGGGAGAAAAGCAGAGAGAGACGGAGCTCCTCCAGCAAGCCGCCGTCAGAGAGGAGACGGGTCAGCCAGTCGTCGGAGTGCAGCGGGCCGGCGTCTGAGCGGCGGAGGAGCTCCGCCAGAGACCCAGAGGTGATGGAGATTAGGAGGCAGGAGGTTTACTCCCAGGAGACGGAGCCCTCTCACACCAGCTTTGCTCAGAAAACTAAACTCTCACCGGAGAGGAAGAGAGAGAGCTCTTTGAGTAGTAGTTACAAACCCGCAGTCATCAGTGGGTCAAAAATGGCCGACGTCTGCCCGTGGGACTTTGAGGAGAAAGACTCTGGTGAGAGGGCATGATAACTGGTGCAACAACTTTTTTTTGTATTCACAGACCGACAGCACAGAGGACAGAGCAAAGAAACCCAAACAATAAAGATCCAACATTGTATTTGATATGAAAGCTTTTCTCTGAGTCACCTTATTGTGAAAGATTTCATGAGGTAAAGAAAACGTATCCTGCTGTCCATCGATGCAATCCAAACACGACCTTCTCGTTGTTACATTGCAGTGAATGCAACCTTGAAGTCACTTGAAAGGAAGTTTTAGTCTGCACTTTTGCTTGCCCATTTGTCAGTTACATTGTACGTATGTTTTATCACACGGATTACATCAAGGTGATTTGTAAATGAATCATATTTACCAGCAGATCAGACAATCATTTGTCCACAAACACAGTAAATGCTTCACCTAACGAGCTTATTGAACAGTGGTGTGTGTTTCCCCCGCGACGCTGATGATACTCTGCGTTACGCAGGAAGCCAGCAGATACTTCATGTATCAGATGCTGACGACAAAAACAGGCAGGGAAAAAGACCTAAGGAAAAGTAGTGTGTTAGCTTAGAGAAGCAGGACCAAAGCCCCAGACACGGCTGCGATGCCTTACCTTTAGGCCAAATCCATAATTCATGGCATGAAGATGATCTGTTTGATTAGAGGAATGTGGGATTTCAGTACAGCTAAATGCAGAAAACTGTACGTTTCAGTAAAGGTTCTCCATATACAGTATGTATTTTTCTAAAAAAAAAAAAAAAAAAAAAGTCATTGCATGTGGCAAACTGCTGTAACAAGCATCCAATAACTAAATGTTTATTGGTTAATTTGTACTCAAATATGACAGTGGAACGTTTTGATGTTGTTGCCTATGGTATTTGTCTCCTGATGTACCACATGATGCTTCTGAGATAATGTGCATTGCTATCAATAATGTACACACATATTTCAAATGGCTTGCTGTTACAGTTGAGCAGTACAAAAATACCCATGAGGCTCTCCCTTCTGTTGACATTTATTTACCGTTTGCTCAATAGTTGGACGTCCCATCTGAAAATGAAAAAACAAAGACAAGAGAAAAAAAGACACACTCTTGTATCACAGGCTGCAGTTTCTACACACATTGAAAATGTGAAGTCTTTCAAGGACCAAAACCAGGCCTGACGAGGCTGGATGATGTGAATAATGCATATTTTTTCTATGACTTAGTTTCCCGTCTTACATCTGCTTGAATGCACCTTCCTCCAAATGTTTGCACATATTCAACTGCTAAATCCACGACTATGCATGACCAAAGCTTTTCTTTTGCCACTTTCTCGCAGACAGAAAATGAAGCAATTTGCCATTTAACACATCATCTCCAACAACAACAACAACAACAACAACAGCAACATCCTGCCTTTCTGTCCTGTGATCTGCCACCCACCACTGACACCCAGTGCAATGCAGTCACACACGGTAGTCAGTTCAGCTTCATTACAGCTGTGTATGCATGACAGTGAAAACACACGGGGCCATGATACACTTAAATTCACCAGAAGGCATAAAAAAAACATTGCATATACTATGAAATACTTAAAGAGGACTTAAGAGCACATGGGATTTTTCAAATATAGATGTCAGATGTTGTCGTGTATTTATCAGGCGTTTTAGGGAAGAACTTCCTGTGTAAGATCAAGACATGTTTTGCGTGTTCTCATCAGGCTTTCAGGAGCAGCATCTCTAACGTGAAAGGCCTGATAAATAAACATGACCCCACCAATTGAACTTTCACAAGCTTTTTTTCTATCAGATGGTTTTAAAGGCTGTTTGAAAAGAAATGTTGCAACTTGCCCACTAAATGTATTTTATGCTTGTTATACCGTAAAGTGTTGCTCCGAAAAGTTACAAACTGTTGTAGCATCCACATGGGAGTATTTATATTGTACATTCATATTGTGTTGCATGTACATACGGTAAATACCCTGTTCTCAACTCTGAATTAAATATTTCTATGAAACCCCACTGTCATCGATCTGGCTTCAGTTTGTCTCAGGAGTTTTACAGTAGTGACTCGTATTACGTCGATCACCTGCTAGTGTGTACAGCACAACTCTACTTTAGCACAAACAGATAAATACAAAACATCACAAATCTTGACTAATCTCAACCCATCAGTGGGTCAAAGGGTTTAAAATAAAATTTCAATACAAAACAGTTAGTCCTGTTTTCTTACAACCTCAGAACACCTGTTAAACCTGTAGTAGCAGCTACGTGATGCTCAAGCAGTCTGTGCAACAGTACCACCAAGTGGAGGACGAAGATCACAATTGTCTATAAGTATTGTCCTTTAAGTTTCTGACTGTAAAACTGGACAAACGAATGGCGTCTCCATATCCAGATTAGACAGTAGTGGAATCTAACTGTGCTTAAGTATAATTTATAGTTACTTCACTTGAGTATTTTAATTTTATGCTTCACTTCAGATTAAGATCTTTCAACAAGATATAAGATCTTCTTATAGAAGACATTGTTAAAATTAGCTGCACCTTCACGTCTTACATGTTTATACGCAGTAATAACTCATACACGCGTTTACTTGTGGTAGTTTAAATACATTTGCTGATTATACTTTTATAATGTTACTGACGTAGGATTATGAATGTAGGACTCGTACTAGTAATGGGATGTTTTAACATCATGGGACGGCTACTTTTACTTGAACAAAACATTTGAATACTTCCTGAGATTAGACACATATTACTGACCTAAGAACACAGTACAGTGATGTGGTACCTGATGGATGTATAAAGAATCTGTGTAGAACTTATTCTGGATTAGGGTCATACAGTATCTCAGTGATGCACTTTTACAAAAGCAGCTGTATTCAAGCTCACACTGTCTCTGCACAAACAGTGGTGGAGGAATAAAAGTAACACTTCACTTTAAAATAGATAGATATCCATTTCAAGTCTTGCTTTCATAGTTTTATTTGAGTAGAGGGACAAAGGTATTAACAGACAGGTGTAGCATCCAAACTAAAAGTACTTACTGCTCATTATTGTCATTACTGTGATGCATCAATCAGCATTTTAATCTTTCAGCTGGTTGAGGCAAGGGAAGGTGAATTTATTTGTACAGGAGTATAAAGTAACATGAAATGAATTTAGTACCTTAGAATTATAATTAAATAGGCTACAGTACTTGAGTAAACGGAAATAATTCCATCACTGGCCACATGTAGCAACAAACAGTTCATAAATCATCTTTAAAACAAGTCTGACAGACAGTTGGTGACTGTAGTATTTTTTACATCCTCCAGCGGCACCAGCTCCGTCCTGCTAAATTAAAAAGCGACGGTGACGTCATCGCTGCAGCACCGGACAGGGCTGAGTCCCTGCAGGAACAAGCGATCCGACCTGACACGCATCAAGTCAACTACAGACTAGCACAGAACGGCACAGCTCAGCACAACACAACACCAAAACACACAACACACAGCTTTCATTTTTCCACCTCATACCTGGAAACGCCGGTTTGGAATATCATGGGCAACGTTCAGGTAAGAAAACTTAATTTTATTTATTTATTTTTGACAACTTCTGCAGCTAAAATAACACAGTCTGGTTTAGTGTAACGGGACTTGCAATGGGAGGATTTACTCATCCAGTACTTTTTACAGTGTTGTAATGTTGTGTTCGCAGTGATGCAATATGATAAATGTCAGGAAAAGTCACCATCAACAGGGACAAGATCATTAAAAGTCAGCACTGAGAAACCTGCACCACAGACACACCGCGTCAAAAACAATGTTAAAGCGTCGTTATTTACTGATGGAATCAAGACTTTTAGTGCAAACTGCTGGTAAACAGTCAGTGTTAGGGAGCAGAAGCTGCGCAGTTAACCTGAGCAGAGGGAGTGTTGCTGCCAGGCCGAGGAGGCAGCAGCAGCAGCGGTAAGGAGGTATTTCTCAGACACGCTGATCAATAAGGCCGCATTGTATAAAAGGAGGGGTGGGCGAGGAGAGAGAGGAGGCTGCAGGCTGCTGCTGCTGCTGCTGCTGCTGCCGCCGCCGCTGCCCCATGACTCAGCAACACACAGGCTGCACCCTTTTCCTGTTGGAGAGAATCGCCTGGATGTATAACACAATAATGAATGCATACCAGAGCCTCACTCTTTAATCTGCTTGAGTTGGAAGCATCAAAATTGTAGCTTTACACTAGTGGTTTATATGAAGTTTATATTGTGATTTTTTTTTATTCTGAATTACTTTCTAAGTTTCTAAGACTATATGAGTAATACTACACAACCGTGAAAGCGTGTGTTGTTGTATACTTTTTACATATTTTCTTGGATTTTATGAATGATCCATATTCTGTCAATGACCCTGTCATTTTTTATTCTCCAGCCCACCGTAGTCCCATATGAGGATTTTGATGTCACAGCTGATATCAAGGCTATAAGAAAAGCTTGTAAAGGTTTAGGTAAGTGTGTGTGATGCTTGGAATGATGCTGCTTTTCTTCATTCATACATTTAAATAATATTAGAATGTGTTCATTTGTTTTGATGCTTCAATGAGCCAAAAATCATTTTCAGAATTCAACATTGTTTGATAAGAGGATGAAAATGTACATTCTTATGTATCACACAACATGCACTTTATGTTTAAAGAAGGTGACCTGACACCATTATGGCATCATCAATACACAGTATAAAGCTTCCTCCTTGAGCAGCTGTCAGTGTGAGTTGTAGCGTCTGGTATATCACAGACAAAACATTTTAAAAGTCTATTTCCCAATTCATAGTGAAAACTGACATGCTAAGAAATTAGCTGATTCTCAGATGCACTAGGATATTTCTCGGCTAAATGAAAGTTTTTAAAGTTTTTAGTGCTTTAAATTGCTCTTTATTGCTCTGAGTGTGGTCAAGGTAGAAATACTACATATAGTAGTCATACATATTGCTGTGTGTAAGACTATTATATTCCATGAGGCTGAATTAAACTGAAAGCTGAAATGTGTGGCAGCCATTTTATTAAAGGCCTGTGGATTCCTAGACTGCCTCCAGTCATTAAAATGCTTTTAGATGTCTAGCAAAAGTGTGCTATTGTTATAATATTGCTATATTGCAATACCATATGCTATATTGCTATATTTCAAGGCTTCTGAAGTCAGCCTTTATGTGTACACTGTACGCTGTATACTCTCTAGGCACAGATGAAGAGGCCATCACCCAAATCCTGGCCAATCGTTCTGCAGCTCAGCGTGTGGAGATCAAGCAAGCTTACTTTGAAAAATATGATGATGTAAGTACCTACAGTACCTCCCTCTCTCTCTCTTTTACTGTATATACACACATGACAACCATGCATCATGTTACCTCTGTGTTGGTCCAGGAGTTGGAGGAGGTCCTGAAGAAAGAGCTGACAGGTAGTTTTGAGAAAGCCACCATCGCCATGCTGGACCCTCCTCATGTTTACTTTGCCAAGGAGCTGAGAAAGGCCATGAAGGGGGCGGGCACAGATGAAGCTGTGCTGGTAGAGATCCTGTGCACAGCCACCAATCAGGTCTGTCAATATGTGATACTGTTGCTGTGCAATGTCTTTCTATTTTCATTGTCTATTATTTTCTGTCTTCACCTTAACTTTGATCAAGGGCGTAGGTTCGGTCTCAACATTGGTATGGACGCAACAACCCTACCTAGATTCACTTTTTAATGCTGTCAAGCAAACGGTTTATTAAAATATAAGATCTGAATTTACATTCAGAGGTGCCAATATGCAAATTAAATATATATGTACATGTTTTGAATTTCCATATATGAAATATATGTACATATGAAGTAAAATCATGTATGTATACACAGGCTAGCATGTATATGTAAAAATTACACATGAAACCTGTTAGAAATTGGATAAATATAATATATTGACATATATGTCTAGCTACATGTATTTGAGTATGTCTCTTATATTATAGGTTTATACTGTAGATGTGTTTTACATAAATATATATCCACTGAACTGAAGCCAGGTTTAGCTCGCCAGTTAATGCTAGCTAACATCAGTTCAGATAGTCCCCGCCCTCTCAGTCAATCAAATGCTAGCATGCCAAAATCAGTTGTCTTGTAGACGTAGCCTCTTGGAGGGACATTGGAATGATCTAATATGACTTCACTTCAAACATAGTGTGAACAAATTCACTCAAATTTTGGCAGGGACAATTCAGTCCTCCCAAAATATTGGTGTGGACATGTTCCTAACGTCCATATGCAAACCTCCGCCCTTGACTTTAATAAACTCATCCTACACACCCACAGTCCCCGAACACAGGTGGTCAACAGATGTTAAACCTTCATTAACTGATTTATTGTTTTTGTTTTATTGGCCACTTAGTTGCAGCAGAATCAAGCTATAAACACAACAATGACATACTATCACCTCATAAATGTGATCTGGTTAGAGCAAACGTGCTGATCTACACATTCAGCAGACATGCAACAACATGAGCATTCATTTAGAGTCGTGTTTCTGGCCACCAGACTAATATAAGAACATAATCATTCCCTTCAATTCCTGAGGGGAAGGAGCATTTGGCTCTCCAACTGCTCCAGTATTTTCATCAGCTAGTTGCTGACTTTGTCTTCCTGCAGTTTGGTGCGGCGGGTTATTAGAGCTTTTAACGCTGAAAACAACATAAGATCAATGAGGCTGAACCGAAACTTTTGGGAAAATTTGTGGGATGTAAAACCAAAACAATTAGCTAAAAGTCGCTAAAACGCTCAATGGATACTTATACTGATTGCCAAGAAACGATTAATTGTGGAAAGATCCAAAGCCACCAACCATTATTCAGTGGATGCAAAGACTGGAGCAGGTCTATATAATGGAGCAAATGACTGCAAGTCTACAGCTGAAAATGGAGGCTTTAATAGAAAGGTGGACTTGTTACATAGACTGAGGTGTTTAACTAAGTGAGATGGGTTATAACAAAATGTCATTGTTATATCGCTCTATAACTGACACTGCTATGCTGCAAATGCCTCCCTCTGAGAAAAGTGTCTCTCTACTTATTTATTTTAATCATTTTATGTATTTTATATTAATTTTCAGGGTATGAGTTCCTATGTCAGCCAATGTATTATTTATAAAAACACTCAGTGGGTTTGTTAGTATGAGCTAGCCAAAATCACTCATAGTCATTTAATCCATTCAACCTAATTTGATGTAAAAGAAATATTGATTAGTTTTAGTGTTAGTGGCTGACAGAGTCTCATCTTCCTTTTCCCAACAGGACATTGTGAGCTACAAGGAGGCATATGTCCAGGGTGAGTTTTCCTCCACGCTGAGTCATGCATACAAAGCTTTCAATCCGATGTTTCTCTCTCATACTGGAAACTGTGGTCATTTAACCAACCCAGCTAAGTACTGTTATATTTGTCTTAAGGTTTTGGGTGTTTTACTCTTGAGAATGACTCACTGTGAAGTGAGCCATGGTTTCCTCACTTTCTGGCCACAAACACTGAGTTCTCACATTTCACTCCTTACCAAATGTGGGAGATTACTTTGAATGTATAAAAGTGGCTCTGACCTACAGTGCATGACCGTGACCTGGACGCAGACATTGAGGACGATACCAGTGGAGATGTGAGGAACCTGCTGATCTCACTGCTGCAGGTAAACACTGACTCTTTGAGGTTTTTTATTAACCAAGGAACATATGTGCCTCTTCAAGGGGACAGTTGTAGCTATAAATCCAGCCATTCTTAAAGAAGCTGAATGGTACTTTTCATCATTTGATAATGCTTTTCAGAATTGTTCTTCATGCTGGGATTCGCCCACCAAGACATTCGACACACATCACATCATTGTTTGGCATGCTTTGGCCCCTCTGCCATCCAGCGCCCCCACCCTTCTCTGCTTCCCCTCTCTTTTCCTTCCTGCAGAAAGAACAGACAAACACAGTGTGACTCATGTTGTACAGCGACGTCTATCCAAAGAGCTGCCACTTCAATGGCTTTCAAATATTTCCCATTAATGTGGAGCAGATGATTGTTATCCCATTAAACGCCTGAGATTATTTTTGTAATCTATCTCTTTGACCTTTGCTTCACACACTAAATCTTTTCCCTCACACTCTTTCTACATGCATCATCTCATGTGTATCCATCCTCTTAAACCTCCTCCATATCTCTCTCCTGTATCCCTCTTTTTTCTACAGGCGAGCAGGGATGAAGGCTATGAGGTGGATGAGGGTTTAGCCGAACAGGATGCCACATCTTTGTTTGAGGTACATTCTCAAATGAAATCTGAGCCCTTGTTCATAGTTTCCCCTTTAAATCCCACTGATGTTTGCAGGGTAACATGATCGTAGATGTAGATGTCGGTGAATGTGAGCCCACAATGACTTGTAAAATCTCACAAGTACAGAGTTTATTAAATCAAAGCTTGTTCTTGTGGTGCTGGGGCTTATGTTCTTGTCCAGTACTGTGGAATCTGTGTGGAAATTCACAACTGAGGTCAGAAGCCTTACATTTGCAGCTTCACAGTGTTATTGTACAAACACAAAAGTATGCAGAGATAGTAATGTCACAGCGTTTGCTTCTCTATCAGTGAATTCTCTAATTTACATACTGTTAAAAGGGCACAATTAGCAAATATTCCTAGCCATGCTAGTGCAATAGTTCAGAGAATGGCAGTCTAGGTCTGTTTGTTGGACAGTCTCCCATTTTCCTCCAGACTAAAATATCTTGACAATAAATGGATGAATTGTCATAAAATTTTGTGCAGATTTTTTTGTCTCTCAGTATAAATCCAAGTCATTTTGGTTTTTCCACCAGGGTTCAAATTTGTGCTTTTTTTTTTAGTGAACTGTCTCAGCAACTGTTGGATGGATTTCCATGAAATTTTGTGCAGATAATCGTGTTCCCTACAGAATACATTTGAAAAACCTTGGTCACCCCTTAACGTTACATCATCAGGTCAAAATTTAGGTTTGTTCAATACTTTGGATTATGACCTACTTGCAAGCTAAAAACATTTCCATCTGCCTCAGCTGTACTTTGTGTTTAGTGCTAATTAGCGATCATTAGCATGCTAACATGCTAAACTAAGACAGTGAACATGGTGAACAGTAATGATGTTAGCGTTTTAGCTCAAAGCAACACTGTCTGTGACTAAGTCGGCTGTAGCCTGAAAGAGGTGCTAACGTGGCTGGAGACTCTTAGTCTTGTTACTGTATCATATGGTTTCATAGTCATTCTTATAAGCCACTTCATAAAAGTACAGCTTAGTTATGAGTTCAGGCATATTATTCGCTATAATTTCTATTTGTTGTGCTTTAACATCTTATTATTTAACTTTATTACAGTCGTATCATTACTGACAGGAATGAACTGAGAAATGATGATGAGAGAAATATCCTTTAAATGAAAAACTGCACTTGTCCCTCTGATCAAATGAGCCAAAACATAATAGTTTCAACTGGTTCATGTTGAGGATTTAAATGAAGTAGAAGCATCTGACTTTAAGACAAATATTCCCAGACGCTTGCACATTATTTCCTCTTTGTGTACCTGTCAGGCGGGAGAAGGAAGGTTTGGCACAGACGAGTCGACCTTTACCTTCATCTTGACTCACAGGAACTACATGCAGCTTCAGGCCACCTTTAAGTTCTATGAGTCTGTAAGTACTGAACTCAGTCGTGCAAGAAAAGGTTGCTTTTAAAGCAATATTTTTGTGTGTGTTTTTAATATAATGTTGTTGTTTTTTTTGTCATTTCAGCTTTCAGGGACAGACATTCTGGACACCATTGACTCTGAGGCCACAGGAACCCTGAAGGACTGCTACATTACTCTGGGTAAGATGAAACAAGCCAATGAACTGATCAGATCAATTATCCGTTCCTGTCATAACACATTCAGACTCTGTGTGTGTGTGTGTGTGTGTGTGTATGTGTGTGTGTGTGTGTGTGTGTGTGTGTGATTTATAGTAAGGTGCGCCAAGAACCCACAGCTGTATTTTGCCCGACGCCTTAATGCTGCCATGAAGGGACTGGGCACTGACGAGGACACACTCATTCGCATCATTGTAGGCCGTTCTGAGGTAAGTGTGTGTGTGTGTGTGTGTGTGTGTGTGTAACTGACCAGTAATCGTGGTGTTTAACTCCAGATCACCAACAGACAAAGAAATAGACAAATAGACAAAGCAGGGTGTTTTGTGGTGACAGCAGTGTTGTGTCGTTCACCCACAGATCGACCTGGAGACAGTTAAGGACATGTACCTGGAGAAGTACGATGTTACCCTGAAAGACGCCCTGGATTCAGAGTGCGGTGGAGATTTCAAACGCCTCCTCATCGAGATCCTACACTAAACTCTTCTCACTTTCCTCCTACAGGCCTTTATTAAACCTCTGCACCCACTCATTCTTCCTCCTCACTCCTCTTCCTTTTATTACTTTTAGCAGTTTCACTCATTCACCTCGAGGACCACTTTCTATCTTACTTACATCCATTTCCTTCTCTCCCTTCTCTGTTACAGACAATCAGTTGTCTTTGCAGCACGGACCAAAAACCTACTCATTAATATATTATACCGTGTTTAACACAGTTTTACCAAGAACCAGTGGACATTTCTTTACAGTTGTCGTTATCTGTTTTACAATATTATGGCAGTTCTGTGCAACTTACGTGGAACTTGTGCAGCTGAGCTTTATGCTAACGTATTTATCCAAAAAGAAGTCCTTTATTCACAATCAGCAGCTTTATAGTCTTTGTATTTCAAATATCAATCCACCATTTCAAGCTTATCCCAAAGCTTTGAACATGAAGAGGCTGCTGCTGCTCAACATTCAATATGCAGCCGCTTACTTTATGTTTGTCACTTTATTCATCTCTATCATCCGTCATCATCATCAACTCAGAGATGCCTTTCATGAAATTATAGCGATGCAATTTCCTTTCTGCTGCAACACTCAACACATAAGTGCCGAATTATCGCATTTGAGCTCTGAAATGTGAATACACCAGAGGATTGATTATACAGGAGGATGTTATTACCCTACTAACAAAAGAATGAAGGCTTAAAGTAAACAGGATGACTTTTTTCTAGTCACGTCCCTAAGATGCGATGTGGGATTTTAACTGTTCATAGCTATTTTTAATCACAGCTCACAAACTGCCTTGTTCTCACATTTCTACACCTTTTCAGACAGTTGCATTTTTCCTGTTGTCAGTCTTTAAATTTACTACAAAGTTTCAGCCATATACCAGGTGAGGTGATAGGACATTTAAGATCGTTAGGTGATGATAATAATATTAAACAAGACATGAATTGTGATCTATAACCCCTGACGTGAAATCACTTATAATGGCCACACTGTCTGTATTCATGTATGGCAATGTATATGAACTAATTTAATTTAAAACCAAGTTTACAGTAATATCAATTACTACGATAAACCATCGTGTCAAAGAGCAAATTAATACATTAACTTATATGAAAGAAGTAATTGTTAACCTCTTTTAATGGCATAGAAATATGTATGTATGTACTCTATATAGTAATAATAAATTTTAACTCCCCCAGAAGTTAATGTTTCATTCTCCTTATTTCTTGTAGAGGGCAGCATCGCACCACGAGATGAACAGCAGCACATACATACAATACAATGTATGTGCTGCTGTCCAAGGAAAAAAAGACATGGCATTGATGAAATCATTGTTATAATATACAGCGTAATTTGATATTTTCTACTATATATAATAACCATTAATTTTATAATATGCCCTAATATACTGTGTAATGAACACAGGTTTTATTTACATTCTGCTCAGATATTAAATATAATATTTACAGGGTTGGTTACCATTTCATAACGTTTGTTTTGGTGACCTATGATCCAAAACTACACAACAGTTGTTTTTTACAACTACAACTTAGTACCAAGCGCAGACGGACACCGTCGGACGCCTCTGGGTGAGTTAAAACCTGATAGAGGAAAAGAGAAGTTCAAAACAAGTGAGAACTGCTTCCAGATGCACGAACACAGGAGAAGCCGATTCTCACTTTGCTTCCCACTGATAGTTTCTTTCTTTCTTCTTCTTTTTCTACTCATCTTCCTCCTGTATCTCTCTCTGTCTTTTTACTGCCTTGATGATGTGTTTGCTTCAGTATCAAGGGCAAAAGTTGGGAGAACACCTGCTTCTCTACACATTCTTGCTACCTGTATATCCACAGCCTGTGCACCATATGTGGCCCAGTTCACCTTCCATCTCATGCTACACTCAAACTCTGTCCACCTCTCTGCCATGCCTGTTAATATGAGGCAAAGGTGGAGGTTCCAGACGCCAGATTACAACAGTTGTTTTGATTCATTTCTTCGTAAAAAACTGTAGGAAAATTAATGATGTTTGGAGGGGTTTGAAATATACATTTAACTTTGTTTAAAAGGATTATTAATATTTAGATCCTTCCCTTTACTAGAAAATAATTTGCAATATCCTCAAAATAATCAAATAGTATTAGTGCAACTCTGTTTAACATTGGTGTACATGGTGTACTATCTAACATTCAACCTTAATATGTTAATGAAATGATGGAATGATAATTTTCATTATTTTTGTATATAAATCTTTTTTTTCATTTTTATAATTAATCTGAAAATGAAACCTGAAATAATATATTAAGTTAAGGATTTGAAAAAAAAAGTAAGACATTCAGGTAAAAAATCTTTGCCTTTTTCTGACCCTCGTCCCTCCCTAAAACTTTTCACATAATCCCTAAATCAACATGACGGGAGCAAGACTTCGCTGAATATTGAATTACATTGTCATTCTTCATCACATGGGGTTTTATTATTTAGTTTTATAGTAGACTATTCCATTACTGTCGTATTTTAAAGGCTGTGAAACTTAACTGAGAATAATAATATCTAACCAATAGACATGTAGGACTTAAACATTAATGTCTTTTTAATTCATCATACAAACACATACACAGAGACACACTCATAACAACTTGAGACACTCATGTGCTTGTCTTTCCCTCCATCTGTACTCTATTACCCAGAGTGCTAATGTGTTAGGCCCAGTACGCCTGCCCGACAGAGCTCCGCCCCCTGCACTGTGGGGCTCTGACCTTTTTCCTTAAACATTTATTATCCTCAGACCACCATAACTCACCCAGCCAGCCGCCCGTCAGCCTGGAGGTGGTTTCAATTTGCCTCAAAATATGCTTTCTTTCTTTTCTCCTAGTCAGCTCAGGTCTGGTTAGTGTCTTTGGTCTTCTGTCTACTTTCTGACAAAGGTTATGCACAAGAGTTAGGCTTAGTGCATAAACTGTGGTGCGAATGCTTTATTCATATGACAGTCTGGTCAAGCAACCTTGAACTAGAGAGAATTAGACGATTGAAGCGGGAAACGGTCGTGTCGGCACTTTTGATAAATCCTGAGACTCTGTGCAAGCCCCTCAAGACATAAACCTGCATGTTAATGGCACTTAATCCCCAAGAAGTCATGATTTATTGAATAAGCTATAGCATACACTAACCTGGAGGTCATAACTTCAAAGGCTGAAATAATAATATCAAGTGGTCTACTGGTTTTGATAGAACATATGCCCAGGATTGTAATATGCTTTTTGATCTTGTGCCAAGGCAGTGCAGCACTCTGAGAACGAGGGGGTTGTGGGTGGAAGTGCATAGGAAGGCCATTAGGAGGTTAACTACCCAGCTAATATAATTTCAACTGTTTAAATTCAAGATAAAGTAACTGTGTTCTTTGATGTGTAATAGGAAACACCTGGCAGCTTCTGCCAAGAGCAAATATGTACGACTCAGTCTCCACATCTCTGAGTGAGGCGGCACGCAGGGAAAAGACCATGATAAGATTAATACATGCAAGATGACCATTCTCTGAATTCACTGTGTGGGAGGTTTGTGAGTTACAACTAGTAGCTGTGTCCTAATAACTTTAAATGCTAACACTAAGACATGCTAACACTGGTGAATGAAACTAAAACATAAAAGCTGTGGCGTAAACACATACGAGTAAATCAAGTAACTCAGGAATGTACTTACAAATCAATATCTGTCAAAAAGTTTGCTAATATTAGCTAACATTAGCCACCATACAACAAACTACTGGTCGTACCAGACCAACTAAAGCTGCAGAGGTAAAACCTCTGAGTGTGTTGAAATGAGCAATGGTCCGTTTTATATGTTTTTATTTGTAAGAGAGAAATTTTGTTATTTCTACCAAAAGTTTCCTTTTAAATGGCCTTACACGGAGGTATCAAAGACTCTGGTAAAACAAATTCATTTTTATTGGATTTACTATAAAACATCAAATATACACTTTATTACAGCTTAGTTTGAGTAAACAGAAACTATGTCTTAAGATGTGAATATTAAAATATCATGCTGTCTCTTCAGGACAGCTTATTGTCAGCAATGGTCTTAGTGAAACACATGACTCTCTTTAACTCTATAATATGCAGAAAGTGGTTACTAAACAAGGCATGCAGCAGATAGGCTATTCACATTAGAAAATGGCGGCTAACATGAAACACATGCACCTACAAAACACACTCCTGACTGAAACCAGCACCAGCAAACCACTTTTGTTGACAGCAGAAAATGCTGTACAGTGAGAATGATCTGAAGCTCCTTTGGCATCAATGGACAAAGTGAATTACATAAATAAAAGCAGACAAATACAACACACGGAATTCGCGAACATATAAAAGATGAAAACTGCATGAGAGAAATCTTAACTGTGTCCTACAGTATTATCGTGTGCTAAGAGCCAATATTTGTACCTCTGTAGAAATCATTACACAGTACTAATACTTCCATTATATAAATACAATGGTTTATGCATAATGCTACATTTTTTTATATATAAATAAAAGTCCATATTGGAGCTTTCCTTTTAATACAAGATCATTTTTATAAAAAGTAAAAATAGTTGCAGGCTACTCAGTACAAAATGAGCTTAAACAAGCCGTACAAAGTTTAGGAAATAGAGTTAAAGAGTTAGTTGAGAAGATCTAACTTTAACTGTCCAATAAATATGAAGATAAAACCAAGAGACAGTTAGCTTAGCTTAGCATATCTTAGCTTAGTGCAAAGACTGGGAGCTGGGGAAACAGCTAGCGTGGCATAAAACCACAACTTGTTGCTTTTACATGTTGCACAAATAAAACAAATTAAATATAACGTGTTCACTTATGAACTTTACAGATGCTTGTAGACATATTTTGTCAGAGCCAGGTTAGCTGCTTCCCTGTGTTTCCAGTGCTTACGCTAAACTAAGCTAGCTGGCTGCTAGCTTCATATTTAACAGACATGAGAGTGGTGTAATTCTTCCATTTTAACTCTTCGTTTAAAAAAAAAAAAAGTGTTTTCTAAGTGCGTTGAATGATTACTTTAAAAACAAGCGAATGAAAGTCCATCCTACAAATGGCTTAACATCTGGTCTATTGAACTGGAAACCACTTAAAGAAGCAACAAAGCAAAGTTGTGTTTATTATGCTGCCACCCAGAGGATTGACACTCCACTTCCTGTGTGGTGACTGATCTGGTTGACTCGTCCACGTACACAGTCCAGTGTGAAGAACACCGCTGTGCCGTTATGAACCTGGAAGGACGCCCGCAGGCTCACACTGGCCCACTGGCTTCCCTCTGGCATCTGGCCACCCACCTGCTGGGCCAGAGAGATCGGCCGAGCCCCCTCCGCCTCCCTGCCTCCTCCTGAGCCCTCTGGATCACTTCGCTTGAGCAGAGTCACCTTGACCAAGTTGCAGGAGTGAATCAGTTTGAGATCCAGAGCGACACTGGCTGTGCCGCTCTCCCTGAAGACAAAATCTCGTCTCTGTTCTGTGGATCCCTTCCCTAGCAGGCTCATCTGGGACACCTGAGCGCTGGTCTGGCGGAAGAACAGCGGCTTGTTCCGGACAGCTCCTGAAGGAAGGCCGGTGTGAGCCACTGAGGCAGACAGAGAGGAGGAAATGGCGGCGGGGACCCAAACCAAACTGAGGGTGCTGATGCCTGTCTCGTCGCCAAAGAAGCGAACGTTGCACTGAGCAGGTGAGAGGATCTCAAAGCCCAGTGTGTCCCCGGGACCAACTTTAGCCGCTCCAGACAGAGATATGGATGTGTCCCGGTAGTGGACGCCTGGTTTGAAGGTACGGCACAGCTCCATGCCGGTTCCATTACGGCTGAGGTACGCCAACAGCTGGAAGCCCTCAGTCACACAGGCCTGGCCCATGGAGTACAAAGCCTGCTGGAACACAAACCGCACTGTGCCACTTTCAGCAAAACGGATCCCACGGCCGTCATGAGTCAGCCCCACTACATAAGGGTCCGAGGTGGAGGTCGTGCGGAAGACTGGGCGATAGTTTGTGTGGTAGTGTGCGGACACCATCGCCTGTGCTGTCATGGCAACAGCCCCGGTGTCATGGGAGAGCCACAGGACGCTGAGCGGAGCTGCGGAGGGGTCGTATAGCTGCAGACCCTCACCGGTTTGGTTACAGTGGTGGCTGGCACTCCGGAGGAAGAGGGAGATAAAGTGACCCGGGGC